TCGGCCTGGGTCATGGGGGTGATCATGGTGCTGTATGAGCGCTACATCAAAAAGAAGGACCAGCAGGTGGACCCAGATGAGGAGGGGGAGATGCTGGAGACTGGGAGCAGGAGTGACCAGGAGAATGGGAATCTAAACAGCACACACACAGTGTGATGGGACAGACCTCAGCTCCTCAAAGAACACACAGTGCCTCTGAAGTGGGAAGAAGAGTGTATACTATTAGGCATGTTCTGAGAGTAAGGTGGTCCATAACAGGTACAGCAGTACGTCTTATGGACCACTATAACAGGTACTGTATCATCATGAACTGTTGTCCATGACCTTAAAGAATTTGGCATAATTTAAATGAATTATTTCAAAAAGAGACCCCATGTTACTATTTTTAAGACAATACCACTAATTTCTTTTCTTTGGTTTCTGCAATTTCTGCAGACAGTGAACCCTCTCATCATGGCACTTGAAAAAGTCTGTGATAATTATATGATGAAATACATTTGTAAAACATGATTATAACAGTATAATGCAATGGGGATTTGAATGAAGTTGTGCTTGAGCTTTTATAAATGTGCCCTGGTGTTGTTTTGTTCTGTAAGTTCAGCCCTGTTTTATGTTGAAGATGTTTATGATAAGTTAGTAAGGTGTTTACATCAGAATGTGATGGCAATTTGTACTATTGTCCTTGTGTCTGTGATTGGTCCATTCTCCTCAGTTTTCTGCATGGACTGATGCACCATAAGCCTTAATATGTGTGTATATAAAACTTGAGGGCTACAAATCCAATTCTGTGAAGATTGAAATGTGATATACACATTTTTCAGCCCAAATGTAGTACATTAAAATATTTTTTTCTTTATTTTTTTAATATAAGTACCCTTTTAATATTTAATTTAATGTATTTAATTTATTATATTTCACACAGTCTTAATTTAGCAATAATAAGGAATACACAAGTATTACTTGTGTAGCCTCTTTTTTGTATAATAGACAAATGTGGTCCACAACACTAAGCTCTACTCTGTATGTATCCAAGTAATGATACAGTATACTCCGAATCAGCCCCTCTCCTGTACCTGCCTCTTCCTTTTGATCACTACATCTGAACATGACATGAGGTGGGACATTTGCACACACTGCAGTTTGTGCTACAATATGATCTGTAGAATCTGCAAAGCAAACTGATAAGGCCATGTGATGCCAAAGGCAAGGGTGAGAGAGCAGCCTGGAAATAGGATCTAGCTGGTTGGCCTTGTTCAAGACAGCAAAGTGACTCACAAGAACTATAGCTGTTCAATGAACAACAGTAGCCAGTATTGACCAAACAGCAGATATTATTATTTGGTACATGGAAATGTGATATTATTCATACTGCAAATACAAAAGCTATTATAATTCAAAGACAGGAATGAATGATGTTTTGTTCTTATTATTACAAAGCTTAGTAAACAGGATATGACTTCAGTGGGCTCGTGATGTGAGCGAGCACATCAGTGAAGACAAATGTACTGTGCTTTGTGGAGCTGGCAGCCTTGTTTACCGTCTGGGTCTTTTGAGTCATGCTTTTGTAATACTGTGTAGTCTCGCTGACCAGGAGGCAACTACTGCACTGTAAATGCCCACTGACTGACTGGAGATGTGACATCAAGTAAGAGAAACTCTAACTGAGCGTAATGGCCGTCTGACACATTCACTTATACAGAATATAATGTGGAGCACGTCCTGGGGCAGAGTACACCAGAGACCAGATGAGAATGCTGTTTACTATCAGATCATGTGTGACTATCATTTTTAGAAATCATCAACAAAAATAACACTTATCAGTTAAGTACCATACTTAAAGGTGCACACCTAACATCTCAGTGAAGACAAGCAGTGGACCCAGCGGACCTCTCACCATAAAGGTATATAATCCACCTTTAATAAACAAGCTACGACTGTTGTTTCATTATCATACATGATTATTCTGAGGATCTCAAAACAATATAAGACTAGTTTTATCTTTTAATTAATCTTATTTGTCCAAGATCGGAAGAATTAGAATGCACTTACTGTGGCAGAAGACAGGTAACATGTATATGTAAAACACATAAATTGAATGAGCATATAATTATCAACAGGGTAGTTCAATGCGGAATTTCACAAGACAGTTGCTGACATCAGATAATTATCAAACTAATTATTATTAACACTCAATAGACTTCAGTTAGATGAAAGAATGTCAAGATTATTTGATTAAGCAATACTTGTGATTATTCAGGTCACAATATTGTAAATTGTAAAATAATTTTTTGATATTTTAATTGAATATGTTCTCCCAAAAAGTAAACCTAGATGTAGATGCTGTTTTATAAGATTTCTTGTGTCACAATAACTTTATGATTTCACAAAGCTGGTCTCATACTTGAGGTAATATAATGAATTGGTGATGGGAATAAAAGAAAATGAAGGTTGTTTGATTATGATGTCATAACCCGTAGATAATTCACACAATAATTCTAACACCAAAATCTGATATCATGACATCTGCATAACTGAAATCTTACATGTGACAACTCGCCAGTGGGAATTTCCTGTGGGAAATTTACTATTAAATTGCCTATGACATTACTACAGCAGAGTTAAGATCATTATACTGAACCGTTTAGCTGGTTACACTGGTTTTTCCAATTTGGTCATTTTTTTATGTAATAATTTTACTTCCTGGTTGCGAATCGTGACATCACACTAGGGAAAACTACAACTGTTACTTCGCAAAACACCTCTAATGTACACAGAAATAATTATCTGACACATACACTTATAAGAAACACCTTCATTTTGTTGAAATAATGTTTAAAGTATCAAAAAAACACGTGTTTCTTGTGTAAATTGTTTATTAATTGTCATTAATATGCTTGAACTCTCTACTTCCTGTAATTTTCAACATATTTTTTTCACTTTTCTTTGCGACTAGCTATTTGATTGCTGTAAAATTACAATTTAAATTTACAATAGTTATAATCCCATCCACCATAAACCTGTCATATGCACTTTATGATTGATCTGCACAGAGGAGGATGCTCTCTGCTGTTCAGTTCACAGCTTTGCTCTGAGGCCTATGCTGTGCCCATGCTATAAGGTCATGTGAGAGGAGAGAGCTTGTCCTTTAATGTGTCACTGTCCTGCCCGGAGTAGTGTTCACATGGCTTTGTCTTAGCTGAACCTTTTCTGACCCATTGTATTTACTTTCCCATTGTTTCGTGACTTTGGGTTTTCAAAGGTTACCATACTCTAATTAGCATTAAGGTTAAAATAATGTGGATGTGGACTTTATGTCTGGCCTTTAAGCAGAATTAACTTCTAAATAGATGAAGTGTCAATAGCTAAAGAGAGAAAAGATCTAAAGAGAGAAAAACTGAAATGTGTAATTCCTCCTGCTTTCATCTATGTTATTACCTATAGTTTTAGCCCAAAAAACACAAAAAAGTACAAACATAAATACTATATTTGTTTTCAGTCAAAGACAAATAAGTTATATTTTTGGCACAAAGACAATGTTACACTTGTGTAACAGTATTTAATTTAATTATTCCATTGAGTTCCAACCAGTAGACTTTGGTAGATTAGTGCGCTTTGAAGGATAATAGTTTTGTCATTGCTGTAAGTGCTGTAAGTCCACTTTTTAACTAGAAAAGAAACCCAGAACGTTATTGTGAGGCCCAACGCCAGACACGATACACATACACAAACAATAGAGCACCATTATTTTTCTAAATGATTTAGGTATGTACAGTACTGTACAGTGATGCAATAAACACTGTAGTCACTGTCACTGTTATCAGTTTTACAGTTCACCACAGCTAGCCTTACAGTTAACCCCATTAAAACCACACTAATGGGATATGCAGTCATAATCCACCAAATTATTTTACACAAATAAATCAGTAAAAACTTATTTTCCAACCACAATTACATTTGTTACTCAGCATGAGTTCACTGTTAGGCTACCAGCACTAGGGTTTGCCCCTCTCTTGTACATTATCATATGGGTTAAGATGTGAGGTGTATGGTACAGTGGCGGTTTAGGCTTGTGTTAAGCCAAAAGAGCTGCTGCATGGGAGAGATAACGCTGTGCTTACTTGCACTAAGCTCCAACTCAAAAGCTCACAATGACATTTCCAGCTGAGACAGACGCACTGCAAATTGGTCTGCAGAGTATTTTTGTGCCATCGTCATAAAGCAAGAAAGCCCTTTAAATGTCTTATACTCTGTCTATCTCCAGATATCTTCATCTGTTTTGTTTAATCCTATTTTTAGATTGAGGTCCTATTTTTGCTCTTTCAATAGTCATGTCTGTTCATCATCTATTTTGACATGTATTTTCAATTATTTCCTGCTGTGTCTTTCTGTGTCTGTGTCTTTGTCTGTCTTACAGCTTTAGGTTTGTCCATCAGTAGCTCATGTGTCACTTCAATATTCATGAGCTTTTGTGACAGGGAAAGAAACCTAAAACCTAATTAATGTAGCCACACTACCCAATTACCCTTTGGCTTTAACATCCAACTTACTCTCTGACATGCAACGTTTTCCAGTGTACACCTACAAAAGCCGTATGAAGAGAAATATGCTAATGGTAACAGTTAACACATCTTACTTGACTTTTGACCCCTGAAATTGGTGCTCAGTGAATTTTACTATTAGAGGTTGAAGTTGCTGCTAAATGCTGACACAGGATCAGTTTTCATAGCGCTCCTGGGATGTGGGGATAAAATGACTAACCTAGAGGATTTAAAAGACATATTTTATTCAAAGGAACACATCTTGTTTATACATTTTTAAAATGAGTTTATTAAAAACAACTTAGATGTCTACAGGCAGTTTTATTGTCAAGCTATTATGTAGCTATTTGACTTATGAGGCGGGACACCAGTAGAAAATAAGATAGGGGAAAGTACAGCAGGTGTAGTTCCAGTCTAGTCTGCGTAAGTAATATAATGTATATGCCTAAAGGGTTTTCAAGAACAAAAATCGCCTAATTATTCCTTTGGATACAGCACCCTCTAGTGACCAACCTTTTAATGAGTTCAAACAATTAGACCAGTTAAAAAAATATTTCTTTATGATCTTTTAACTTTACACTCACCCTTACACATAATGTTTCTCTTAAATTTGTCAGGAGTTTTGAGTTTGATGTCTCTCTACCAAAGACACAATGCTGTCTGAGAGTTCTTTAACGTCATGATGGGTGTCTGGATGAGCAACCAAAGCTTTGAGAAGCTCTGTCACACCTTCCAGCTCTAGCATACTGCAGTAATGTGGGCCTGGCAATAGAGAGAGGAGCATCAGGCAGAGAAATATTATTATAAATCATAGAGCAATCAATAACATAAACTGTTTCTTTGAATAACAGGGTTTGAATAAATAAAAAAGAGAGCTCTCTTTTAAATGTCTCACTGAATCATCACACGTCTTACTGTTTTGACTGCAGACCAGATGTATGGCCCAGACTGCCCACAGCTGCACTCCTGGAGGCTGGCCGGTCTGAAGCAGAGGGTAAAAGGGTTGGAATGACCTGAAAACACAGGTCAAGAGATACAGGATAGTTTTAAAATGCATAAGAAAGCATATTTAAGCTTTAGAAAAGTTGGTGAATCAGTATTGAAAACAATAAATAAATATTTGTTAGTCATTTGAACAAAATACCTCATCGTTCACCATATAATAAATATTTTGCTCACCAGTAAGTATGCATAAAAAATAACCACTTAATTTCATAAATACAAATAGAAACAGCTATTCAATCCAGTATTAATTCATGGTTGCAACATCTTATTTATTTATTTGAGACAGGGACAGTGCACAATTTTTGCATTTTTACCTTAACAGGAGAGATGCATTGTACATCAGGTTGTAGCATCAGTGCTAATTTCCACCATCCCTGGACAGATTCATTGATTGATTGTATTTAACTGACCTTGACTATCAACTGTTTATGGAGACCTATGTAGCATGTTTTGGGTTGATGGGGGAAACCCATCCAGACACGGGGAGAAACATGCAAACTCCACACAGAAAGGCCCAGGCAACCTGGGGATCGAACCCAGAACCTTCTTGCTGTGAGGCATGAGTGCTAGCCACAGCCACCATGACAAATGCTAGCAGCAATCTAGAATCTGTTTATAACCATTTTCTTGTAAATTCATAATTCTTTCTTTTAAATAATTTAGACCCTTTATACACATTGGTAATCAAAGTTGAAAAATATTCAAAAAATGGCTAACCGATAGGAGACCATCTCTCGCTCCAGATGAGTCCACGTCATTATGGATGTATGCTGAAATATACAAAGACAGTTTATACAAGACATCTCAGCTATCTGTAAAACAGCCTTACGTTTTAGTTTTCAGATGGTCTTTAAACGCACCAATTGAGTGAGTACAGTGGTGCGGAGATCTTCATCTAAAGTCCAGGCTTTTGGTCTGGATGCAAGATGAGCCAAAACCCCACCAGCAAAGTACCGCACCTCCACGTCCAACTGGACGTCCTGCAAGAGACTGAGGACATGCTCCAGAAGATCCTCATCCATTAGATCAGACTGTAACTCCTCCAACTCAGCCAAATTATTCTACAAAGACAGGTAATGCAGTTACACAAGAAAACATGCAACAATGAATGCAGCAAAATATTTGAGATTTACCAAAAGGCCAAGAACTTTCTGCTGAACAGATGGTTCTGTGCAATAGGACTGTAAGCGAAGATAAGACAAAAGGTGTAAATATAAAAAGACTTTTAATATTATAAAGTATACACAGTACACAGTAATGTACCTCCAAAACCTCCTCATACAGCTCCAGACCCTGACATTCTAAGAAGTTGCGGGCCGCGATGGGCATCTCATCGGTCAGATTCCACAGAGCGCTCAAGGCAAACTTCAAAGTAGAGTCCACCACCCCTACCATAGCCTTCTGCTGGACAATAGCCAGCAGCTGCTATAATAGTAAATACAGTAAATACAAAAGATAAATGAAGTAAAATGCTTGAAATATAATGTAATATACAGGTCTGAAATTTGCTCTTATTTATTCTGTATTTTCATGGGCTGATAAATTTGTGTTAAAAAAAAACTTCAACTTTGCATAGCTAGAAAATAAAAAAAATTGCCCTTTTGGCACTTCTAAAATGTAATGTTCAGAAACTGTACTAATTACACTTCAGAATTATTTGACACTAAAAAAGAAAGTGATGAATACACTTATACACTTAACTTTCATGATGCTCTATTTGAAATGTAGTGTGGTAATGGAAATATAGCAGGTGAAGACGGCATACTGAGAGGCCCAGAAATACACTCATGCATATCAGCTGTTAAGCTGGGGACATTTCATGGGTCTGAAACCAATACCCCCATAAGAGTAATTGTACCTTCATTATAGAGACGTCCTTGCTTAGCTGTGCAGTCTCTTCTGGAGACAGCTGTGAACAAAACAAACACAGACATCAGGATTTGGAGAGGTCAGATAACGCTGATGATTATAGACCAGATATTACTAATTTGAAACACAAAATGTTCCTACTGTTAGAGTAGACCCAGCATATATAGTAAGATAGGATATTATGAAATAAATCAGGTGACATTAACAGGTGCTACACTGTCATAACAGAATATAATAATGCACAGTAAGTACACAGTGTACCTTTGCTATGAGGACAGAGATGACAGCTACAGCCATTCTCTGAAGAGTAGGATCCTCATGGCTGCTCAACCAGGTAATCACCAAGGTGGCAGCAAAATACCTAAGCCATCAAAGCATATGTAAATGACATCATTGTATTAGAACATAATAATGAAAACATTGTGTACTTGTCAAATGGTACATCCTGAAGCATGTAGTCACTGCAGAGAGCCAAAAGACAGTTCATTTGGACCTGGAAAGACACTGTTTATTATGGAGGTGGATTGGTATGTGCAGACATTACAGAGATAGAACAAGTAAAATGCTAAATTAAACTAATGATTTCAACAGCTGCTTCACGTGCAGTTAAGTTACATAGGTTAGAGATGGACCTATAGAATATTTAAACCTAACAGTGAAAATATTGTCTTACTTGTGTATGTCTAGGGAACATCTCCATGGCTAACAACAGCTGGGTGACAGTGGAGGAGAGCAGGGGCACAGGCATGGCCTCACACAGGTTCTGAGTGGTAAGGTTGAACACACAGGCTGTGGCCACCAGCTGAACATGGAGGGACGCGGGGTGACTCTGCATCCCACTTAACACCAGCTTCACAACAACGACAAACAGAAAATGTTGCTGAAAGCAGGTACTTGATCCACTGTATTGGTAGAATCTTACATAGTGAATAGACTGTTCTTATGTTATACAGTCCCTGACAAAAGTCTTGTCGCTTATCCATGTTGTAGAAACAAAAGCTTATAACTTGACTTTAAATTAATCGATTAGTTTTAGAAATGTCTCATATGAAAGCTAAAACCCTCCCAAATTATGCTCAATAAACTAAAATAAATTTGCTTCACTGAAGAAAGATTGATCATTTAATGAACACAGAAAGGTCAGATTTTGGCAAGACAAAAGTTTTGTCGCCTACAGAAAATTTTACAAATAATTTACTTCAAATACAAAAATATGTTGCATAACGTCAGTGAATTAAGTAGTGGTGCTGTGAGATCCATATTTAATATCTTGTATGACTTCCATGAGCTTGAAGGACGCATCCATGCGGTTCCACAATGATTCATACAATTTGTTGATGAAGTCATCAGGAATAGTAAAGAAAGTGTCTTACATGTCTCCCAGAGTTCATCAAGATTCTTTGGTTTTGCCTTCCATGCTTCCTCTTTCATTCTACCCCAGACATGTTCAATGATGTTCATGTCTAGTGACTGGACTGGCCAGTCCTGGAGCACCTTGATCTTCTTCGCCTTGAGAAACTTTGATGTCGAGATAGAAGTACGCGATGGAGCACCATCCTGCTGCAAAATTTGACCCTTTTTATGGTTGGGAATGTAAGAGGTAGTTAATACTTCTTGATATTTTAGGCTATTGATATTGCCTTCCACCCTGCAAATGTCTCGCACAGCCCCATACTGGATGGAACCCCAGACCATGATTTTTCCGCCACCAAACTTAACTGTTTTCTGGGTGAATCTCGGATCCATGCAGGCTCCAGTAGGTCTCCTGCAATATTTGTGGCAGCTGTGATGTAATTCAACTGAGGATTCATCTGAGAAATCCACCTTCTGCCACTTTTCCAGTGTCCATCCTTTTAGCAGGCTGTGGCCCTTGGCAAATGCCACACGTTTTTTTTATTGCCTTTTTGTTTAGTGCTGGTTTCTGTGCACTGATTCGACCATGGAAGCCATTTCGAGACAGAATTCTACAAACTGTTCTGGTTGACACAGGGACTTGAGGTGACCAGGCCTGGTGGAGCTCTGCTGCAGTGGAAAAGGGGCTGGCCTTGGATTTTCGAATCAACAAACGGTCCTCCCGAGCAGTTGTCTTGCGGGGTCTGCCGGACCTGGGCTTGTCAAAAACATCTCCAGTCATTTCAGATCTTTTTCTTATTCTTTGTACTTGACGCTGAGACACATTGAAGGTGTCACCACCTCAGCAGTGTATCTGGTCTTCAGCCTCTTGATAATTAACACTTTGGTCTCAGGGTGGATCTTAAGCATGTTGTCAGAGGTCAAGTTGCAGTTGATGTGAAGGTCTGGTGTGCTGGGGTTCTTTTTATACACACCCACTAACTGATTGATCAGTAACTGATCACAGGTGAGGCTGTAATCTAGGATTGGGTGCATCATATGACAAGGCGACAAGACTTTTGTCTTGCCAAAATCTGACCTTTCTGTGTTCATTAAATGATCAATCTTTTTTCAGTGAAGCAAATTTTTTTTTAGTATATTGAGCATAATTTGGAAGGGTTTTAGCTTTCATATGAGACATTTCTAAAACCAATCGATTAATTTAAAGTCAAGTTATAAGCTTTTGTTTCTACAACATGGATAAGCGACAAGACTTTTGTCAGGGACTGTATATCATAAACTCTAAACTAAACAGTTTTCTAAGTGCTGTATTATTTATTTCACTCATGAAGTATAAAAAGACATTAACAGTGTCATCACATCAAACATACAAGAAATGAATGAAAAGGAGCAGAAAGAAGACTAATCTTATGTTATCTGCCCCCTTTTCCCATTTCCAGACAAAACATCAGCACCGATAGTTACTTTAAAACATTTCAAATCAGTACATTTCAGTTCAGCCAAAATTATTAATCAGTTACAAACAGAAAACTTCACTATTATGCACAACAACTTAGTTTCCTTTTTCATACATAGACATTGCACTGGATTTTATGTTTTTTAAATGCCATCATTGTACTTGATTCTTTTATATCTTTGTCAAGACTATTTCATAAAAGTTCATTTCATGTTTGTGTGGGATGTGAAGCATCACTTATCCAGGCTTTTCAGCAGGTATTTTTACTAGCATTATTTAATGATACTAACACTGCATTCACTAAACTGGATGTAGAACTGTGTTGTAAAAAATCAATACAATAATTGATACTAAAACTAGTACTGATGCAAAATACTCAAAAAATCTAATAGGACAAATTCTGACAATTTTACAATAGTCTTGATCTGTAACACAGTCACAGAACTACTATTATTTTGTGTTGAAAATAATTATTATGATTGCCTTTTTCTTAATATCATATTATAATTGGGTTTTAAATCCAAAATGACATAATATATGTAAGAACAAATGCGTTGTGGGTACGTTACCTTAAGCATATCGGGCCGGGGTTTGTCGATGTCTGTGGTGAGATTGTAAAGATGGACTAGGGCCTCTCGAGTGAAACACTCTCTGTCTCTGTACCTTCTCAAAGCCTCACACACCTGGCTCTCATTTGCTTCTCCAGTTACCTAAAGCAAGCAGCATAACACTAATGTCACACAGGGAAATGCAAAGTGAAGATGGGAATACACAAAATACTCTCCAGTCTATGACAAATGAAAAACATATGAAGACTACCTCTTACAAGCAGGTTAAAGGGCCCATTTTCTAATCTGTATTTTAATGTTGTTTCCTAATCAAAAACATACCTGGAGTTGTGCTTTGTTTCATTCACACATCTTTAACACATAAATCCTGCATATTTAGGCTTCTTCTCTCAAAGTGAAGACACTCTGTTCCACCTTGTGATGTCATGTATTGTTAAACTACACCTTCAGTGAAGTTATTTGGATGATTTCAGCCCTACCAGTGGCTACAACTACATGACATCAGAAGGTGGAACAGAGCATTTTGAGTTTGGAGCTATAGACTACTAGATTACTCAAACATGTGTGAATGAAACAAAGCACAAGTCCATACACAAACAGCTATATTTTTGATGAGCAAAATGACTTAAAGACCACCCATTAAGAAGAAACCCATTATGTGTCATATAGGACCTTTAAAGCTCTGACCTTTAGTTGTTTGCATTTCTCGAGGGCATCGCAGGAACTAACGCCAGTCGCCATCAGCCCCAAGAAAACCACTCCACTCCTGGCCTCTATGAATGCCCTCACTGCTGTTTCTGTGATTCTCCTTCGCCCAGACACGTCTAGAGACACCAGCGATGGAAGCACCTGGGGACTGCCCTCCAGAAGTTGGCGTACTGTCTCATCCGCATTGCTGCCATCACTGTCCTCACTTAAATGGTCATCCGAAAAGTCCAGATGTCTAACACTGTGAAGCTGAGTGAGGACAGAAAGCAGTCTAGAGGGAGACATATCAAGCTGCCTGAGCCGATGTGCTATCAAAGATTTGAGTGTGTTTTTGCACTGAAGCAGGGGAGTGAGTGTAGACACAGCACAACAAGAGATATCCAATATTTCCAGATGAGGTAGAGTGCATATGTCTTCAAGGATTTCATCATCCAGGTCTGTATTGGCAAGGCAAAGTGTCCTTAGACTCCGCAGAGAGCTGAACCCTACACCACCCCCCTCACCATCCTTTAAAGCACTCCAATGCAAACACAGTCCATTCAGGGACAACCTCTGCAGGCTTTTTCTACACTCTGGGTTAGAGGCCAGACCAGAGACGACATCAGCCCCGGTGAGGCTTCCGCAGACCCAGGATGCATCCAGTTCTTGGAGTCTGTGGGGGCAGAGGGCCAGACGGAAAGCTTCAGCAGACACTGTGCAGGAGCGGATAGTGGCTCGACGAAGGCGGACTTGTTTACAGTCCCGGAAAATCCCAAGTGTTGAGTCATTAAGTATACCTGGAGAAAAGAGGCAAAAAATATCCAATGGAAAAATAGCATCACTCAGGCCAATTATATACACAAATCAGAACTGCATAACTACCTCAAAAACCCCTAATAACATGAAATAATTTAAGGTCAATTCATGAAAATATTTACTTGTACTTCAAATCTTGTCAAAACAGGTGCACTGGGAAAAAATTTACTCATATTAATACAATGTGTTTAATACTAGTGCTGCTGAGACCAACCAAATAGCTGCATTGGTAATAATATTTGACAGTTGGACTAACAGTTGGAGTTTCACCTTTTTTATTCATCATATACAGAAGCTGGTCAGCCATCTCTTGTGGGAAGACTGTGGCTGTGTTGAGACAGAAAGAGTGATCAGAGCGTCTGATGCACAGAGAGTCCAGAAGGAGGCACACCTGAGTCAGACACATCTCACACAGAGACTGGGGCCCCTCCATGTCCTAAAACACAACAATAAAGAATCAGAAGTGAGATCAGTGAACTTTTAAAGGGCCAATATTAAGCTGTTGTCTTATCTATGTTATAATGTTGTTTCTCATCAAAAAATATACCTCAAGTTGTGTTTTGTTTCATTCACAAAAGTTTAACCCCTGCATTTTTAGGCTGTGTGTTTTTCTTTCAAAGAGAAAACACATTGTGATGTCATATGGTAACACAGGAAGTGCTCCACTGTGTTTTTGAACTCCATACACCTTCATTAGAATCATCTGGATAATTACAGCCCTGGAATTCTCAATCTCTGCTGAGCTAAAGGTAAAAAGGTAGCTGTTGAACTTGAAAACACTTCATGACATCACCAGGTGGAACAAAGCATTTTGAGTTTTGGGATTACTCAAAGAATTACTCAAACATATATGAATGAAAACACAGCAGGTACGTTTTTGATGAGTTAACAACATTATAACATAATTTAAAGCTCACAAAAGTCAATTTCTGTGAAATATAGGATAATATAGGACCAATATTATTGTTCACACAAGTTCAATCTTTGGGAGGTGCGCTATATAGAGACCTGCCTGTCTCCATAGTGATTTTATTGATTTTCCTGGAAGGTTATACAGCATGGCATTAAAATGACCTATTTCTAAGGAGAAAAAGGTGATGCACTAGTATGCCGTGTGTGTGTGTTTTTTTTTCTTCTTGGTGTTTGTCTTCTTTTTTTTTTGTTAGCAATAGCCCTATACGTGCACTGGTATTGAATACATACAAGATAACACAGTATAAATTAACAGTTTGGAACATTCCAGGTAAAATGATTACATCTCCATGGAAACAAGCAGCTGACTGGCCCTGCACCAGAAAAGTTACAGTGTAGTTTACCTTTCTTATTTTATGCATCAAAGTTTAAGCAAAAGTAAGTGATATTTATAGGCAGTCAATGGCTGAGGTTGTTTGCAGTATCAGAGACATCTATAGCGTTAACTTACATTCCTGGCTGACGTTTGTCCCTGAGTGATCCACAGTGACACAAGAACCCTAACGCAAAAGTCTAATTTTATCCGCAACAGTTGAGCAAGTGCGCACAGATAAAGCTGCTTTAACCCCATAATCCGACAGCTCACAGAACAGAGTGGACAGAAGATACCTATAGGCGGTTCTATTGTCTATGGGTACACCGCGTCAGTCCAGCTGGTCTCTGATACAGGCATTTGTCAAAAGGGCAGCATGTCAAACCACACTTACCAGGCTGAAAAGTAAACAGTTCACTGGAGAAAGAAGAGGCCTTGACAAGAAGCCTAAATACTGAGGAGAAGAGTTAAATATAACGCATAGCAGCAGTTGAAATCTATTAACGCTCGTATAAAATAGTTAATAGAGGAAAGATGTTTACAGCTTGGTTAATCGCTTAGGTATACCCCCATGTAATGCCCTCAGTGGAGTCAGCAGCCCACTGTACGTCATAGGTAAGTACCTTGTCTCCTGATTGGCTACAAAACCCCGTGACGTAAACAATATAAAAGAAAATGCTTAAATAAAGTTGTAAAATGAATCATGGATAAAAAAGTACCCCTGTTCATTTTTTGGAACCGGTTAATAGCTATAACACACTTTATTTAATATGCACTTTCGCTAGGTTAAGTAAAATGCATTTATTCATTCTTTAATTTATATGAATGAAACTATTTAAAACACAATTTGAACCTGCCTCATTAATTAACACAGACATGTCAGAAGTAAACGCATGGACCTGTTAAGGGCAATAATTTTCTTTGACCACAGGAGGGAGCTCACTAAGGGGACTGACGGGCCAAATAAGTTTATGAGGAGAAAAAACATCAACAGCCTTGAAGCATGATGATGATCTTTACAGTCTTATAAATACAGACTCCAACCATTAACCCACAAAAATGTAAACAGACGGTGAGCTGAGAATATTATGAATTTGTAAAATGTGATTACTTTAAACAATCTCATCAACAAAGCCAACAATAATAACAAATAACCAAAAACAAATGTTGCAAATTATCATTAATAATCTCTCGTCTCGGCCACGATGGGTGTTCTGCCATCTGCCTCAGCTGAACATGAAGCGTATGTTTCTTCTTATAGAGACTCCACATGTTTAAGAGCTCCTGCTTCCGCTCCAATCCAAAACACTGAGCTCAGGGCAATCCTTTTTGTCTGGTAAATCCTCTCCACTTTGTCCTCAAAACTAAATAAACACAGCTGCTATAGAGGCCCACAGATAGCCATAATCCAGAGAAGAAAGACGCTGATGCTGAGCACATTTGTTGTGTAAAAACTTTCCAAAACTAAGAGTCTTTTTAGATTTACTTGATTTGCAGTATGTTTCTTAAACTAGGCTTTTTTTGTTCTGAGTAAGCTTTAAAAGTAAAAGACAGCCTGTATAAAGTATTACTATGGCATTAATCCAAATGTAACTGTATGTATGTAATATATGTCAAAAATACATTGAGAAACATGCATTTTTATTCCACAGATCTGACCTGTACATTTGCATGGTGGGGGTTTCTTTGCCATTGATATTGTGGAACATCCCAGGGAAAGCAGGAACAGATGGAGACAACCAGGTAGAGAACCCTCCACCAGAGAAATTACATTGTGCACCTTTAAGGAGTTTCTTCATTGCTAAACTCAAGATGACACCAGGGGAGGAGGGAGGGCAGTACCAAGTCTCCCTCTCCTCAAAAACACACGTACTACCAGCCTCCCTCTCTCTGAACCAGCCTCCAGTGTTCCCTACGCAGACGGTGTATGCTGGTAACTCGACTGTATGCAGGGCAGGTCTTCTTTCCCCATGATTCTGATGTCTGAGAGGAGAGTGAGGAGAATGGAGATATTCATCTTCTACAGAAGAGACCATTAAAGTCATCAAGAGGCTCCTGTTGGACTTTCCTGAGGTGGTCACCAAACAAGGTAAGAAAGTTTACAATAGGTCTAATAGGGCAGTTTAGGAATGTGTTTGGAAGGATTCACAAGTATCTTTTTACTAGTCCCAAGCATGGAAAGAGGGAATCTGCAAAAATAAGATATGTGAATTACACTGATGCATGCTTGGCCTACATTATAAACATCATGCAATTAATCATTAGAACTAACTTAAATATAAGTTAATTCATAGTACTAAAAACAGCATAAAAACTAGAATGATCAGACAAGCTTTAGTTAATTATGTATCAAACGTACAGTGCATGCCTAGTATTATAATATTACATTATGTCCTAGAGTTTATCCACATGGTGCAGTGAGTCTTCAGACCTGTATTGAAAATTGCTTATGTCAGTTGCACATGAATATTGGTGAAGCGTGTTGTTCAGGCCTGGTTCTGCTTTGGCTTTGTCCTAGTATGAAACAAAATACTCAGAATAGGTCAACAAAAGTGGCTGCTGCTGCTGCAGAGTTGATGAAGACCAGCCGAACAGACAGAGAGCTGGTTGTAATAACTGGGATAAATGGGATTCACAGGCCGAGCGGGGACAAGCAGTCAGCCACTGTGTAAACACCGTCAGGGCTGTGGACATGAAGACTGTAGACTTGGAGACATGCAGACGGGCCAATTGCTGAGTCCAAGCTATTAACGGGGGTTGCCCTAGGATTAACAAAAGGTTGGAAATATGTTTTTTGGCTCGTAATATCTCACTGACAGTGCCAAGGTGCTTCTGACACTTTTTCTCATAAGGCACATTTTATTCTTTCCTCTGAGGCCTAACAAACTGCAGCTTTAGTGTTCCTCAGAATTGTGATCCTTTTTATGAGCAGGGTAGATTTAGTGGTGTATTTCAACATTTTAACCAAACAATGCAGTTATTAAAATCCATGCTGGCTCAAGATGTATTCTCTGTCAATAAGTTATTAGAAGACAGCCGTGATATTTAGACTCTGACATTGATAAAAGAGGCCTCGACCGCCAGAGCTGAGGTAATACGTTTGGATCTACACCACTTACAGTGGCCAGTATTCTTCAGCACAGCTCAACTTCACAAGTAGACCACATACATGTTTGAAATGCCTTGTTGTCTGTTTCTGGATCAATTTAATTATCTATTTTTGGCATCTGTTAAAATCCTTAGTTGAGTGAGGATATAAAGTGGACCATATTCTGTGCTTGTCAGAAATGTACGCTTATTTAAATGTTTTTGGCCACTTCCACTCAAATCTCTTCAAGCTTGATTAAGCATGAAAACCCAAATCCTTCAAATCTTCTCTTCTCTTTCAAAACTCATTGAACACTGAAACATTGAAATCAAATATTGGCCATAGAATGTAGAGGCAGGGATCATTCTGTTCATGGATTTCTAAACGTCATCAAATCCAGCTCTAGACCACTGTCAAAACCAATTCAAAACAAATGCTTTCCCCACCAAAATAGACTTCAGAAACCATTACTCATAAGTGAGGCTCCTCCTCCTCCTACTTCTGTCCCAATTGTTACCAGTCATGCAGAAACGACACGTCAGAAAGGCCTAATCATAACAGCTTTACACGTACTCATTTCCATTTATCAAAACACATTATGAAATACTGAGTCAAAGTTAATAATGTTATGGAATTGCTGTTTGCCAACACAGTCCAAGCATAAATATAATAGTGGAAAAAAGTACTAAATTCACAAACCAGCAGCTTCACTGAAAAAAAAATTTAAACCAGATTCCTGCACTTGAACACACCCAGATACCTGATATATAATGAAAGAGAAGGCATTTAAAACTATGAGTTAAGATAACAGATCTGCAGAGAGTGGGTGGCACTGGTCGGATCCCAAGAGAACTAAAGTGGATAGAAGTCTTATGCTCTGTTTTTTAGTAATTCATACAAAATTATGGAGTCACTTGTGGCTGTTAAAGAATTGTGTCATGAAACATATCCTAAATCAGTACATAATTTGCCATGACTGTTCCTGCAAGAAATTTTGTACAATGTATTAGAAAATATGAATAATTATAATGAAGATTATGTTATATGTATATATGAATGTTAATCTTAATATTTTCCCATGTCAGAAAATATGCAGTCACTGCACTGCATATTTTAAATATGGTGTATGTTCTTGTTACAGGTCTCTTGGTTGTTTGGAGATAAAAAAGACATCATGGACCCTGGACTGTGGAGTATTTTAATTTTTTTATCCTTTTCAGTCAGCACTGAAGCTCTAACAAAACACCCCATTTTAACAAGAATACGAAGAGCTCCAGAGTCTGAACCTAAAAAGTGCTCCTACACGTTCCTTGTTCCTGAGCAGAAGATCACTGGCCCCATCTGTGCAGCTCGTGGTTATTCAACAGACAAAGACCGAGTGACAAGACTGGATGTGGCTGCCATGCGGGATCTTCTATCAAAACAGCGCAGAGAGATGGAGACTCTGAAACTAGTGGTGGATGTGGACGGGAACTTGGTGAATGAGATGAAACTTCTGAGAAAGGAGAGCAGAAACATGAACTCTAGAGTGACCCAGCTTTATATGCAACTACTGCATGAAATCATCAGAAAGCGAGACAACTCCTTAGAACTGGCACAATTAGAAACACGAATCTTAAATGCCACCACAGAATCCTTGCGTTTGTCTTCACGATACAGAGAGCTGGAGGCTAAGTATGCAGCGCTATCTGCGATAGTCAACAATCAGTCTGTGATCATTGGAGCGTTAGAAGAGCGCTGTATGCAGGTGTACAGTCGCAAACAAGAGCCCCCTCTCATGGGACCCCCAATGGTGCAAGTGGTGCCAGAGAACATCCCTGTAAATGTCCCACGTTTTACCAATGAAATCCAGAGGGACAATACCAGAGGCTTTGCCCGGGAAAGAGGCTCCCGCTCTGGGCCTTCACCAACCAGCGGTACCCTGGAAGCACAAGAACCTCCACACAGGAACTTCAGTGCTGAGGGTGAGTTATCCATCTATCATCCCCTTCATTCATCTTATTTTATTCACCCTTTCACCAATAGCCACAAAAATTCTGAGCTGTCATGACATTTTAAGCCAAAGGAAACTGAAAATAAAGTTAGATGCAAATAGCAGGTAGAGTCATGGCCTTGATTCTACAGGTTAATGATTGCCAAACTCAAATGGAAGTCTGCTTCCTATTCAAGAGAAACACAAACCAGAATGGAAATACAAATGTTGTAATGTCTCAGACTCCACTGAAGCATAGGACTTGGAGCAGTGCTGAGAAAGACCTTACCAATGCAATTTCGCTCATCAACTCAAATTCCTCACACATTAAGATTGCCAGTGCCCAAGAATAATAAAGTGTGGGATTTGAGTGCAGCCCTGTATAAAAATTATCCTGACAAAACTGTTCCATTGCATGAGAGCCTGAGACAGACCCCAGGCCAAACTCTTAGCTCAGCATTCATATACCTTCAGATATTATTCCATTATTAGACAGGTGACGCCCTTTGAAACAACATTCTACATATTTGCCTGTAATTAAAACTTGTGTAATGGGAATTACCTTAACAAAACTTCAGCCACATCTATTTTGGTTTGTTGGCCTCCAGAGAAACTTCTTAATTACCCCTCTCTCCAGTTCTAGTTGTGGGTAAAGCAGTCCAGGGCCTACATCCTGGACAAATGTGTTTTCTATTAGCAAGTCTGCCTTCTCATTTACTGACTTCCCTGGCTTTACTGTTGGTGTTGTTTTGTCTTTTCCACAGCCAAAAGCCTTACAATTGTGTAATAGTTTTGGTTGTTAATAGTTTTATCCCATAAAAACTGCCTGTAACACTCACATATTTTCCGCCTAAGGTCCTTTCAAAGACTGCCTCCAGGCTCAGGAAGCGGGCCACAGCACCAGCGGCATGTATGTGATCAAACCTGATGAAGCTGAGAGGCCACAGCAGGTCTGGTGTGAGCAGGACATAGACAACGGAGGTTGGACTGTCATCCAGAGCAGGAAAGATGGCTCTGTGAACTTCTTCAGGAACTGGGATAACTATAAGGTGAAGACAGATGTTAACATGCTCCCAAAGCCCTGTCTCTTCTATTTGTCTTTCTTGTCTCTCACTTCATCTATGATGGCATTTATCCAGACGAAACTTTGGGGCCAATCAGGGGAACCATCGGTGTCTTCAAGACAATTTTCTCAGCTGGAGTCCTTGTGTTTTTACTTTGTGTTAAATATAATGCTATGTCAGCAGTTCTATCCATCTGAGGTCCTTTAGTGCGAGATTCTCATTATGAAACTTTAGACAGACCGGTAGGAAAGAATGTACCACAGCCCAATCTGTGGGGGTTTCTTTCCAAAACCACTACTACTATGCAGCCATCCTAAATGCTCGCTGGCTGGGTGCTTATAGGCCTCATATAGACCCTCTCATCAGTGCCTAGAAAGATTGAGAATATCATTGTTGGCAGCCTCAGCGATTCCACTCAGACCAGTAGATGTGTAACTGGAAGCTAAATGGCTCACTTTAACATTGATTTGCTTCTCTGCTCACCCACAAAGTTACCACATATGCACACGAACACATAACACTAAACCAAGAGGCCCAGGTCTAAACCCAGCATCATTCATCATTTTTTGGCTCAAAGCGTTAATCCACAATCGAAAACCTCAGCGTTCTCCTATAAGCAAAGTGTTGTGAAGGCACACAGCCAGACACACTGTACAACTCTCGTGGTTATTTAACACTCAATCCTTTTTCACCATTCTCTGTAACCCAATAGTTTGTAAGGGTTGACAGGCATCAAAATTGTGCTTATTTTCCATCTTAAAGACTGCAACATGTTTTTGTGGATTTCAAACAAAGAGTGGTATCCTATTTTGGACCCTTTGATCGTTTGTGTCTAAATTACAGAATCATGGGTAAAGTTCATCAACAACAACATTTTCATTGTTCTGTTATTCCCCACACTCTCTTCCACATTATACAAAACAACCATCTTCTTTCCAAACTACAGAACCCACATAACAAACATCATGCACAGTTTTCTGCAACTTGAGTCTACCTTGTAATCTGTGTGCTTTAGAGTGGCTTTGGTAACATAGACGGGGAGTACTGGCTGGGTCTGGAGGGCATCTACCTTCTGGGGAAACAGTTGGACTACAAGCTGCTGGTGGAGCTGGAGGACTGGATGGGGAAGAAAGTGTATGCCCAATACAACAGCTTCCACCTGGAGCCCGAGAGTGAGGGCTACCGGCTGCGCCTGGGCGCCTACCAGGGCAACGCAGGGGACTCCCTCACCAGTCACAACGGCAAACAGTTTACCACACTAGATCGTGACAAGGATGCTTTTTCAGGTACAAGGTCATCAAAAGTCCAAACCATACAAAACAATATCACTTCTGGTGCAGTGATAAAACAATGTAAGCCACCACATTTAATAAAAAAAATCACTTATCTCAAGAAATACCATATTTGAGTAGATTTTGGGGATGTGTATTTTTTGGAGTTAATTGGTAAAAACATGTACTTGTAATTGAGAATAATTCTAATAATGATTTAATTATAATAAGCTACATTTAAAATCATATCCTACATAGCTACATTTAAGTCATATCATTGCCCTAAACATCCCAGAGTAGCCTATGCAGTATATGATATATCTTTCTAGAGTAGACCAAACTCACATACAACTATTTCTTACTTCAACAATGGTAGTGAACTCTGTGGCTTTATGATGAAATGCAAACTTTCACACCAATTCTACATATGGTTTGCCAATAAAATTGTATTTACTCCATAACAGGTAACTGTGCTCACTTCCACAAAGGAGGCTGGTGGTACAACGCGTGTGGACAAACCAACCTGAACGGAGTGTGGTACAATGGAGGAGTGTACCGCAGTAAGTTTCAAGATGGCATCTTCTGGGCCGACTATGGAGGAGGCTTTTACTCTATGAAGGGAGTACGCATGATGATACGGCCTATAGACTGAGCACAAACTCAGAATCAGAGATTTAAAGCAATGGAGAGAAGCAACTTTGAAAAGCAGTAACTTTTGTGGACATTGCAAACTACCTATGTCGTTTATTCTCCAACATTCGCAGTTAATCAGTGTAAGCTGTCATTCTGGGCTGTGTTTTCCTCATTACAAAGTCACTCTATTGAGAGAAAGACTTTCATTGATTACTTTCTTAAGCTTGAGCAACATGGAATCTAATCCAGCTCTTCCTGCCACTCTCAGAGAACTGTCTGGGGAAAACATATGTGGTGTTTTACTTGACCTATAGTACTGGTGATATGGAAAATCCATTTGCTAACCGCTTAAAAAGATTTACATTTTTCTCTGATCTTGCCAAAATATATTTTTTATATGTGTAAATGTGCAAAACATGAGGACACTATATTCCCACCCAGCACTTCAAATGACCCTTCTACTGTATGTTACTCCTCTTATCATGTTAAAATTACAGGAACCTATAATATATATATGTATAATTAACTTATCATAACAGAAAAGGACCTGGTGTCCTGGAGGAGCAGTAAATTATCCTAGCAGGAATAGACGTAATTTCCTCAAATGTACAAATGACAATCATTCTTCAAGTGTGCTAAAGTAAAAGCAAATGGAAAGTGCTGTTATATGCTTTTCTCATTTTGTTGTTGATCAACTTCCAGTGAGGGACTTTGTGGGAAGGGCCAACATGATTTGTTTTTAGTGGTTATGAGCTGAGAAAAATGTGTCTATGGAGCATTCTCCAAGGAAAGACACAAAGAAGTATATTTCAAAGAAAATATAGACACGAGTGGGTGAATTGAGATGGAATTTGTCCAAATTTCATTTCCAGGTTACATTTGAGAGAAATTTACATTCTTTCCATGCAAAAGTGCCTTAAGCAAATGTTTTCTTTAAAATACCTCCTAGTGCTTTCTTTGTAGACACACACATCCCAGAGACCACTTATTTATTCATTGTAGCGGCTATGGCGTTTTGAACAACAGTGTATAAGACTTCTCTTATGGCCCCATTTCCCCACTGTGGCCACCACACCCAGTTATTAAACAATGAAAAATGTGACAGTGCCAAAAACACAAAGTGGTGTTTTTTATTGACAATAGCAGTAAGTGGTCAGACTAATAAAAGATTTAAAAAAACATATGAGTCACTGTACTTGTCTGTAGTACAGAACTATAAATTGGGAGGGTTGAGGTCACTATAGGGGCAGGTCCTGCCCTGTCTTGTTTTGTGTAATGAATTACATTATATGTAGGCCATATAAGTTGAATGTATACATTTTTATGCAGGGAGTTTCACCAACATCCAAAGTTAACTATTACATTTTCTGTTGTGATGGTGCATAAGGCAGATGGCTGGGTCATGAATTTAACAGATTACAAAAACACATGGTGTATGAGTGTAATATAAGGTGTATTGAAAGAATATATGTAATTATTTCCTCAAATCATAAGTTTACCTTTCCCTTTGGCTCTGCCCTTGGACAGCGTTTTATCTTGACATTTTTTTCTGTTCAAAACATGTAAATATAAGGAAGATATTGTTTAGTTCTACTGTTGTACTAAGAAAAAAGCCTTCAGCGAGAAAAATGACCAAACTGAAATTTTAAAATGCTGTCTATTTCAAGTTTGAAGTAAGCTAATGTACAAGTACTAGTTAAGTTTACAATACTCATACTAAAGAGCCAGATTGGGATGCACCAATAGCTCCTGTTTTCAGTGCACACATGGAATCCTTACATTTTTAGTATCTTTTTGCCCTTATTAATGAACGATTAAGTCTGTGCCACAGAGTACCTTGCACTTGTTTAAGGTAAAGTTGAGGTGGCATCCTTGGCTCTTATGTAGTGGACTCCCTAGGCCCTCCACCACAAAGACACCTGGATAGTATCGACTGGTCAAAGCTCTCCTTGTCAGTGTAATGTCCATGAGGTTGTAGGTTGTCCACCAAAATGGCACTGGGTTTGGAAGATTCTTGGACCAATGAAGCCATACAGTGCAGTTGTGTTTACTAAAAGAGGTCAGTGTTAGAGAAAATGTTCGTGCGGCCAGCTCATTTATACACAAAAGCACAGTTAGTGTCAGGTGGCTAATCAACTGACAGGAAGTGTAGTGTTTTCTTTGTAAACAACCACATGATTTCGGCCTTTCAGTTAAACTCCATCTGATTTATTAACAGTTCTTATGGTACATGTAGTAGTAGACAGCTCAAGGGAAGTTTCTGCCATTGCAGAAATTGCCATGTCCTGAACAGGTTTATACTTTCGTTAATGGGGTGTTTTTACATGACATTTATGATAAGCTAAAAATGCTGTCTAGACATAAACAAAAGGCGATTGAGTTTCCACCAGTGAAGTGTGTGGAATAGGTTTGTCATACAAAGATTTTTTATGAGCCCTATGTCCTAATATGTACATTGTTATTTAAATTTAACTTTGACATTAAAAATGGAGTGACCCCAGAAGAGTGGAGTCAGCATTACTCACCGAAATGGAGAACCCCCAAGTTTATTTGAGTGTTAACTGTGTGTGTGCTGCCTGCTCGGCTTAAACATCCTGCTTATTGTGATATATGGTCCCAGTCATGGAGGTCTGCTTAAAGCTTCACCACCACCTGGGGAGAAGGAGCAAGAGTTGCTATCAGCCTGACATCTTCACTGTTTTTACAACACAGTTAAAACAGTGAGGCAAGGAGGGTCTAAGAACACAAATAGGCTCCCAAGAAGCAAGGGCCGCAAAACCACAAGGGGCAAAAGAGAGGAGCATGAAGGCACAAAGAAACAGTCTAACACTCCAGTAGCAGGAAAAATAAACCCACAGGAAAGCGGGGAAGAGATTTCTTGTCAGTCACTTCATAGAATTTCTGAGAAACAATGATTCCCACAATTTTCAGTTATTTTTATGGGTTGTAAGATGAGCTATGTTACTGTAGGGGTTACCAGTGACTGAAAAATATAAGAATGTAACACCATAAAAGGTTAAAGTAGAATGCCTTTTCGGTGTCGTAAAGAATGCTCTGCTTCCATCTAGTGGTCATTTCTGTAAGATTAAGATAAAGCAAATATTTGTCTAGATATTTAGATCTTGTAAGAGTTGTACCGCGTACAAATAATAGTGTAATACTGTTATTTTCTTGTTAGCTAGGTTACATTTTGCATTATGTTAAGCAACGACCCAAAGCCCAAAGTTACAAAGGCATGGCAGAACTTTATAGCCTTTGGAACTGATACTATGCAAAATTATTACTTACACGTGCCATGCATAAATGAAACGAACCTCTAATTCATTTTATTGTTAAATTTACGATGAAAAAAGTGCACTTTTTGCAAGGGTATAGCAGACGCTTAATACTGACGTCATTATAAGCGACAACGAACGCAATGGCTGCTAATTCAAGTGAGCTCGAAATAGCAAAGAAAAATCTTACTGATGCCATTGGCGATAATGTTAAACAGTAAGTTACAGTTGGCTAAGTATGCTCCCGTATCATTTTGTTATTTTATTTTACTTATTTGTAAAACCCACGCGACAGTTAATTAAACATGAACGTTAGGTCACTAGCCTTGCTAGCACCCAATGCTGTAAATTGTTGCTTGTTTTACTATTTGTTCAGGAATGTTTTCTAGATCCCCTTTATAGACATCAGACTCTTTGTAGGTAATTAATGGAAATCATGAATATGCTTGTATGAAGCTTTATTAACTTGAGAACGCCTCTTCTGGTATCTTGACAGCTTTAAACCAATGACAGTCTTTCATATCTACCAAAGCATCTTGTCTGTGTCTATTGTATTTACAGTTATTGGGCAAATCTGAAGCTGTGGTTCAAGCAGAAGATCAGCAAAGAAGAATTTGATATAGAGGCACGTCGTCTGCTTGCACAAGAAAATGGTTTGTCGGTTATTTGTTGTAACATGGTTAATTTAGTGCATTTCAAATATATTTTTATTTTTATTTCTAGTTCACTTTCACAATGATTTCCTCCTGGCCATTTTAACCCGCTGCCAGATCATCGTCTCCACACCAGGTATCAGAGTATTTAGGGCAGGTTTTAATAATGCAATATAAAGTGTGCAGTCGTGTAGCAACTGAACTCCCTATCACGCCAAACTGTTTTTATATCTTACCCTCTAGAGGGCGTACCGTTACAGTGGTCAAGTGGCCCTGCTTCAAAGCCTGGAAAACCAAAGGTGAAAAAAAAAAGTTCCTCAAGACAAAAATTTGACGTAAGTTTCATTTAAAAAATGATGAGTGTGTTTCACTGGCCCGATGTGTAAAAAAAAAAAAAGTAATCTTGTCTGTGTATTTAGCATCGATTTCAGCCCCAGAACCCTCTGAGTGCGGCACAGCCCTTCAGTCCACGGGATGCAGGTGGAGAGGATGAAGAGCTGCGTCTCAGTGCCCACACATTGTTGCTTCCCACACGAGGTCAGTTGGAGGCCCGCATGATGGTCACAGCCTTTGAACTGGGTCTGGATAACATCACAGAGGAAGCTGTGAACACAATGGTCCACGCGGTTGAGGTGTGTACCTAATAAAAAATAAAGTCCCAAAAGATGTTAACTAATACTTTAGGTTAAATTACTATTACTATTTAATTTTCATCAAATAAAGAACTGAAAATCTTGCTTCATGCCACAATATTGCAGCATCACTTGAAAGATGTCTTGACAGCTGTGATCACCCGAAGAAAAGCTTACCGGTTACGAGACGGTCATTTCCCTTATGCATTTGGTAACGATGTGATGCCTCAACCATATCTGAAAAATAGTCTCGCTGCTTATCACAGTGTTATGGAATGGTAAGATTTGTTTTTATTTGATATTAGTGTAAAATACATTGTACTAACAATATAATTGGAAAAATTAGACTGATAAACTAAATTATGTGAGTGTGTGTGTGAGTGTGTGTGAGTGTGTGTGTGAGTGTGTGTGTGAGTGTGTGTGTGAGTGTGAGTGTGTATGCAAGTATGTTCATGTATGTGTGATTCTGAACTAAAAGCATTTGGTATGTTTTATATTGATGATTCCTGCTTTATGTGATATTAGATACATTTATAAGCAACACATTTTTGTTTTTATGTGCACAAAATATTGAAATAAATAAATCTATAAATAAGTAAATCAAATCTGTAATTTTAGTCCTCCTCCAAGTGCCTCTCTTCCGGCTGGGCCTCCAGTTCAGGTGTCACCAGATGAAGCTGAACAGCAGGCTGTTCATTTATTAGCGTGTTCTGCTGATACTCTTCCTCCGTCCCTACCTCCAATCAACATGTTTGATCTTCTAGAGGCTTTACAAGTAAGTATTGCTTTCAGAATTTGGTCAAATGTACGAGCGCTAATGGTATGTAATGGCTTATGATTTTACTTTTCTATTAATAGTTGCAATAATGTACAGTACTAACTGTACTTTAATTTTATTTTAAAGGTAAACCATGGCGTGATGCCTTCACATACAATGTATGCTCTCAATATGGAACGCATTTTGTCACGGCTCTGGCACCCCAGTCACGAAGAACTTGAACAAGATCATGTACATCGGCAGCGAATTTCCTCAAAGGATGGTATATTAGTTGGTTGATAGATTTCATAAATCAAAACTGGAACTCTGTGGATGGTATTATTTCTATAACATTGGAACCTTCACGTGGTTCTTGTTGTGTATAAAAATGAATGGACCAGGTTTTGTTACTCTGCCGATTACTTTACTTACTTACTTTACTTACTTCACTTTTATATGGAATTTAAAATATCCATAGTTCTTGGATTTGTGTTCTTCATCTTTTCTAGAAGTATGGCCAATGTGTAATGTGTTTTTTTTTCTGTACAGTGTTAATAAAATATTTTTGTACTTGTCAACTAATTAAAATGCAGCAAGCCCATTTCTTTTCTTGATTGTAAACCTAAATGTACCGATGATGCACTGGACTCACAACCCGACGGTACGGTGATTCACGTATTCAGATACCGGCCCGGTATGGCGTCACAGCCTCTTACCATATTTGGCGGTGTTACACTTCCGACACGCAGCTGTCCAATGAAGGTGCGCGCTGGCTCATGCTGTCAGCTGGTGACTCACTGTCCCGTCCGCCCCAGTGTCTTCATAAACAAAATCATCTTGCCTAATTGCAATGTTCGTTTCCGTAACAATGAAATAAATTAATTGGTATAAGGACTAAAACAGGTTATACGCTGAAGACATTTATTGTATTAATTTACAAGTGCTAAAAAATACAACGTAGAAATGTTAAAAAGTGTTATTGCAGGTCTAACGTTAGTTACACCCATATAACAAAATTGTATGCAAATATTAAGAAAATAAGGCAGTTGTCAATAAATGCTACATCAATTAACGTCCTCTGTGATGTGTTTACTGTTAGTGTTACTGTCAATGTACGTAGCTGGTGGGACACTCAGTGCAGGCTCAAATTGAAAAGCAATAACAGCTTTAGTGCATGATCATGCGGGTAAAGTTCAGTTATCGTTATCAGCAAATACAATCTGGGACAGTCTCTTTGTGTGGCCTAAAAGGGTGTCATAAAGTGCACCCTTGAGACAAAGCACCTGTCCTGTAACATGGTGGGGTTACTTTTCATAAACGTTGTCTTGAGGTCTTGGCCTTGTCTGGGGCAGATAGTGATGAGAAAACATGTACAAAAAGAGATCCATATACAAACGTGAACAGTCTACAAAGCTTGGTCCCAAGTGCCACATGGATATTTCTAGTAAGCTTGGAGCTGTTGAGTGAGGATAAGCTGGCAGCCACTGTTAACATGGTCCATAACTTTCTGCTTGAGTAACGCCAGCTCATCTCTCAGGACATTGGCAGAGGAAACCAATTCCGTATTTTGGGTTTTTAGGTTTTTGACCCTCTCCTCCAGTCTTGAGATCCTCTCCAGTTTCCTTTTCCGGCATTTGGACGCGGCTACCCGGTTCCTCATGCGTTTCCTCTCCGCTTTGATTCGCTCTTGAGTTTCCATGTCGATGGGAGAGAGAGGAGGGGTGTCCCCGGACATCTCCGGGACGGTTTGAGGCTCCTCTTTGAGCGAGTGGAGCCGTGGGTGGTGAGCCGCCGCTAGTTGGTGGTCCATGTGGTTGTGGGGTGGTTGGACGAGTGGATAACCTGTAGAGAGTTTCTCATTGGACGTAGAGCCCACGGCACCCGCAAATGCGCCTAAATTAGTATACTCTGGTGGCTCCGTGCGTGCCGTGCTGCTGAAAGGGGCTCCACCATTTTCGGACACAGAAGGGCCAGATGCCACATTGTTATTACCGCTGGGCTGCGCGTCAGAGTGTGCGGCTGGTGCTGGTAACTGCTGGTAGTGGAGTTCTGCTAACGCCTTTACGAAGCCCTCGGCAAATCCTTCCTGTTCGTCTGTAATGTTCTTGGGACAAACGAACTGTGTCGGGGTGGGTGTAGTCAAACCGGTACACGACTGAATGATGAGCCTCTCGAGCTCAGGCGAGGCCAGCTTCAGTAAGCCCACGTCCGGGGACGTCAGGATGTCCAGAGCTTTGGAGCTCAACTGGGGCTTGAAGTTTTTAGGGTCGTTCAGATTCAGTGTCATGGTTTGTTTGAGAGTCTTGGGGTTAAATGCGAACACCCCTGTCCCGTCGCGTTGCGCACTGGAGGCGTTCTCTTCGTAGAAGGTCGTTTCCATTTTTCTGGACATAGATTTACTACCTTTCGTAGACTATGTTTTTAAAAGTCTCTTTTCATATGTCCCGTGACTCAGCTGTCCTCGCTGAAATAGTGTTGAAGAACAGGCCTATTTGAAGTTTCACTCTCGACAACTGTCCCAAGAAAACTTTCCTTTCCCGCGAATCACACAGTCGCATACAAAAACAATGTTCTTCCGCGTTTTGCGTTTGGTTTCCTCGTATGACACGTACCTTACTTGTTTGTTTTCCTTCTCGAAAAGTAAAAACAGCGTCTCAACCGGGATAATACTTTGTATCACTTCCAACGTGGAGACGAACTTTATCCACCTCTAAGCTGCAGCCCCTCTGAAAATAACAATGATGTCATTTCTATGGTTTCTGATTGGCCGAAGATGATATGATGGGAGGGGAAAATGTAATGACATGCAGGTTGCTCTGACAACAGGCACTTGCCCCGCCTCCCGCGATGGTCGACGGGATTAGGTAATGCAGACACTGGAGCAATGGACTATGGGATTACGTAGTGTTTTTGAATATATAGTTACCCGCTCAATTATTCTGCATGCCCCAAATCATTGCCGATTGTATATCAAATTTTTATTATTTTTTTATTATTCCAGTATTTGTACGCATTCTTTTTCTTATATAATAATCCATAGCCCACTTAATTACAGGACTATTCTGTGCTCAAACAACCAATAGCCTAATGCTCAAGAACAAGGGAAGGCTTTATTCTTTGACTTAAATTATGTTGAATCAGTATAGATGCAAAATGGCAGTATACAGATTCTGTCCAGTCTGTCTAGCCTCCTCATTGTATTATTCAACACGTTCTCCTCAAGACACAAATAAATAAGTAAACAGTCCCAGAGGAGCTCCAAAGTCCCAAATGCTGTGGAACACTAATTCAGGAAAATTATGTGGCTGAAATGTGTCATTGATAGCCTACCTTTAAGGTGTCCATGTAGTCAGCAGAGTTCAATACCATGCTTTAGAACAACAGTTATTTTATGGAGACAAACTGAAACGTAAATAACCCTCAAACAAACAAAAAATTCCACTTTATAGTCCACAAGTCTAAAGTGCACATTTGATTGTGATAAATCAAATGTGACAGATTAAGATTAGTATGTAGAATTCATACATATTTTGGAGAGCTACATGCAATTCAGGTTGGGGACCCACTAAAATTACCACTTAACCCAGAACAATCATCACAGTACATAATTGGAATTAAAACATTTGAAGAGGCCTAATGTGTATCCTAACCTCCTTGTGTGCTTGGCCTTTTATACATGCACCCCACAGTGTATTATTATTATTAAGGCTTATTAGGCTGCATCTCTTGTAATATTTTATAGTGTAGTAAGTCCCCTTCTGTAGTCTACACCTGTATTATGGCACTGTACTTTATTTCTATTGTAACTGCCCTTCCTGCTTCCCCATCAACTTTTCCTGACCAACACTGTTCACACTGTTTCCTCTGGCCTGTTCCTGCTCTTTCCACTGTTTTCTAATCAGGAACTGACCAGCAGCACATGGAACCAAACTCCCTAGATGTTGACATCTGCTATAATAATAAAACAAATATGCCTAAAGATATTGTTACAGAGCTAATGTCTGATAGGCTTGTATTTTGCATGTGTCTAGTGTTTGTTGCAGACAATCTGTGTCTTCCTGTCTTTCAGCTAAGTTATGTTTCTATACTCCATATTGTTTATCATTTTCATTACAAACTCCCTGCTATTTCCAGCTGAGCTGTGAATCCTCTCTCACAGTATGTGACCAAGTCAGGTGTAGCCCTTGTCAAAAAAGCATGTTAAGTCAACCCAAATTAGAAGATGAGAGCATTTGTTCGAAATCATACCTTTTAATTAATGGTAATATAATTTCTTTAAACTAATTTAAGAGAAATTATTCATTTCAGTTAGGTGTTATTGAACCAGATTTTTCTCTGAAGGTAACTACTATAGAAAAACTATATAGATGGAAGTAGAATTATATTGTATATAGTATACTATAGATAATGACTGTACAGGCCTGCTCTAGGCTATTAACAAAATAAAATAATAAAATAAATAAATAAATAATATTATTACAAATGAACAATACACTGTTTATTTGTTTTCATTTAGAATATATATTGCCCCATCTAACATAATAGAAACAATCATCTGTGCTCTGCGCGTGTTTGCGATTTACCCTTTTTGTCCTCTCTGACTGTCCGTAAATCTGTTTTGTCGCTGAAGCTCAAAGTACACTTTCCAGACATTTTAAACATGATCTCTGCCACTGAATAGCTGTAACCGCGCAAGTAAGTGTACTTTATAACCTATTTGATATTTGATTTAGTATAATAGTTGTGGTCAGTGATAAAGGTGAAAGTTTTGAAGGTTTACTACACTCAGATGGGTCTGAGACATAATAATCGGAGCATTGTTGTGTATATTCCCCTGATCTCCACATATGCTCCACTATTACTATTACGATTTTTTTTTAGAGTCGTAGTCCGTAAAACAGAGATGTTTTACGTGGGAGTGGACGTGGGTACATCCAGCGTGAGGGCAGCGCTTGTGACAAGAGAGGGTTTCCTCAAGAGCACAGCGGAAGAGCCCATCAGCATCTGGGAACCTCAGTCCGACCACTATGTCCAGTCCTCCACTGAAATCTGGGAAAAATGCTGCATTGTAATTCAGGTCAGAGGTTGTAAATAATAATAGCATATGTATTAGGATTTACAAGCCAGAGTTACAAACCTCATCATGGACATTGTATTAGGATATTATTATTCTCTTCATTATAGTTTAAAGTAAAATGCCTACATTGAAGGGTGGGTGAAAAAAAAACTAATTGTGATATCTGTTTTGGTAAAACTGCCATATGTGATTGCCTGCTTTTCTGTTTAATGCAGCTGTATGGTCAAAAACAGACACTGTTCCACACCCACTCCTTCAATTGATTAGTGATAGACAGATGGATCTAACTAAACACAGATAAGTGTGAACTTTCAGAAACTGTAGGTAGTTTTAGTTGCCTCTTAAATATTGTACAGAAGATACAAGATACAATTGTATCTTGTATGTTAATATAAGAAAATGGTGACATGATTTTTTTGTCATGATGCTCACCCCTACCTACATGTCTGAGGGTTTGAAATGCATACTCTGTCCCAGAGGGTTGTCACTGGTGTCGAGAGGAGCCAGGTACGAGGCATAGGATTTGATGCTACCTGCTCTCTTGTGGTTCTGGACCAGTGCTTTCAACCTGTTTCTGTCTGCCACAGTGGTAAGTCGTGAATAAATTCATTATAAAAACTTAAATTAAGACCAGGTGTCTAGGTGTTTTTGTCCACTTATTAAAACTGTGGACAATTTTAAATATTTTTTTAATCAAAGATCCACATTTACAACTTGCAATCTCAGTATCCAAGAACAAAGTCTGTTTCTTTACTGATGTAGTAGAAGATCTATTTCTGTGATTAATATTTCTGTATCATTTCTTCTCTATCAGTTCTTTTGTTGACTAAAGCTAAAAAATAAGATGTATACTTCAATAAAAATTTTGTCAGAAAATGTTCCATTGTTTTGTTTTCTTTAGGGGACAAAGATAGGAATGTTGTAATGTGGATGGACCACCGAGCAGCAGAACAGGCAGTTCGTATTACAAACACTGGTCACCAGGTTCTGAGTCGGGTGGGAGGGGTCATGTCTCCAGAGATGCAGCCTCCTAAACTCCTATGGCTCAAAGAGGTGAGAGGTGAGAGAGGCCACCACAAAACTTCAGTCATATGTGTGTTTTGTTTTTATAAAATGTCTATCATATATTAGTGTGTAATTAATATAACAGAATTATAATACGGTCAAGTCAATCATATACTTGGCTGCTTTTAGTGTCCATATGCATTACGTCTGTTATGTGTTAAGGCTCTATACTTTTATGCAGCTGTCACTTTTCTGTTTCCAGAATCTGAAAGAAAGTTGCTGGAACAAAGCAGCACATTTCTTTGACCTTCCAGACTTCCTGTCTTGGAAAGCAACAGGCTGGTTGACTAGGTAGCCTCATTAATGCTTTGCATTAGATAATGTTCATACAAATATAAAGAAATATACAAAAATAGAAATATTTCTTCCATAAATATGCTATTCAAAGTAGAATTCATGTTATTCATGCATTTTATTATAAATTTGGTTATATTTTTCAAAAGATCCTTATGCACTTTGGTGTGTAAATGGACATATTGTCCCCTAGAAGGATGGGATGACAGTTTTTGGACTACTATTGAACTTGGTGACCTCTTGGAAAGCAACTACTCTAAAATTGGTGAAGTTATTATTACTGATGTTAATGGTATAGTTTTACAGTTCAAACTATTGTTCCAATTGAATCTTGATGTACTCTCCCCAGGTAATGTAACCTGCCCCCCTGGTAGTCCACTGGGGCAGGGCCTGACAGCAGAGGCTGCTGCTGATTTGGGTTTGGATCCAGGAACTGCAGTCGGTGCTTCTCTTATTGATGCCCACGCTGGAGGATTAGGTATTCAAACAAATATAGAAAATGTAATGTAGCCCAGTCAAATGTTTGATTAGTTTTCTGCTGTATACATAGTGTACCTTGGTCTAAATATGGCTAATTGTTCAAACATAAAATTTATAATTAATAGTTACGTACCTTACCTTGGGGTTTTTCCTGAAAACTCTATCCTGGACATCTGGTTTTGTTCTGAGAGTTCAACTACACATGAACCCTACTCTCTGACCTTAGTGGCGACCCCTGCAGGTCACACATTGTTGTATAAGTCAGAGGCTAAAGAACACACTGCGCTTTTAGTTGTTGTAGATGTCAAATTGATGTAGTCCTCTGACACCAATAAGTAGATGAGGCCTCTATCTCAAAACTAGAGAAAAGTCAGCTATAGTGCAGCGGTTAGTGTCACTGCTGCAAGCCACAAGAAGGTAAATGAAAAACTTCAAAGTATTGTAGGCTTTGATATTCAGCTTCAGAGTAAAAAGCCCAAAGCACAAATACAGTATTGGCGTTTTATAACATTACAGTTCAGGTTACAGATCAAATTGCAAATGTAAAATAGAATATCTCTGCTAATATTTTTCTTGCTAGGTGTTATAGGTGCAGATGTCAGAGGCTTTAATTTACCATGTGAGCACCAGCCTATCACCTCACGAATGGCTATGATCTGTGGAACATCTACTTGTCACATGGCAGTCAGTATTCACACATGATGAAGGCCTGCTATTGTACTTGCATTTCAGCGCTTAGTAATGTATTTGTTTCTTTATTTTAGATTAGCCAACAACCTCTTTTTGTGCCTGGTGTTTGGGGGCCTTGTTTGTCTGCAATGGTACCTGGTTTTTGGTTAAATGAAGGAGGACAGAGTGCAACAGGAAGACTGGTAATTCTACTAAACTTAAAAAAGAAGTCTTTTCACATATGGGTGCATATTTTCTCATTCATTTCTCTTTAGATCGACCACATGGTGAAAGGCCATGCTGCTTACACCCAGCTTCAAGAACTAGCAAAACAAAAGTTAGTTGAACTTTGAATGAATGATAATTACTTGTTTGTTTATTAATAGTGTTAACGTTTCGGAAGGTGTCCTTATGCAGGGGAAAACATCTACTCTTACTTAAACAACCATTTGAACACTATGAATGATCCCACCTCTCCAGTTGACCTGCTCACTTCCTCTTTACATGTGTGGCCTGACTTTCACGGAAACAGGTCACCATTGGCAGACCCAACATTAAAGGGAATGGTGAGCCTCTAAGCACTAGTTTAAGTAAATGTTTGGTCACTCCTTGAGTGCAGCTGAATGAAATGAGAAAAGTATACTTCATTCTCAGGTTGTTGGACTTACATGTTCCCAAACTCTTGAAGATTTGGCATTACTTTATCTGGCAACAGTACAAGCTCTAGCTGTAAGTACAGAAGTAGTTTTACCTGATGCAAGTTGTTTAAGAATTCTCTCTACATTCATATTTTCTCTTTTCTTTCTTTTTAGCTTGGTACATTACATATTCTAGAGGCCATGAAAGAGGTTGGTCATGACATCAGGACAATTTTCTTTTGTGGGGGTCTCAGTAAAAATCCACTTTATGTTAAGGTCCATGCAAATGCGACAGGTATTCAGAAAATGCTCTTAATATTTTAACAGTATGTTAAATAATCTTGTAGCCATCTTGTATTTAAATCTATACATGTTTTAAGGACTGCCTGTAGTGTTGCCAGACCAGATGGAGGCAGTGTTGGTGGGAGCAGCAGTTCTCGGTGCCTGTGCTTCTCAAGACTATAGATCAATACAGGTACTTACTTGTTTACCATATAAATAATGTGGTTCTTCACTATGTCCAGTTAATCACAAGATTTACTATTGATAAAAAAATATGAGATTTTACACACATTTAAATCCTCTTTAGTTCAATTGTTTGACTCAATACTGCCATCTGCTGGTAAAGTAATCCTTTATACTATTACAAATAGAGTAGTAGTGCAGTGAGCCCTTAATATTCAGTATAGTGTGGTTTTAATATATGTGTAAATGGTTGTTGATTAAGAGGGCATAGCCCTTAATCCCGATGTACTAAATATAAGTGATTATTGTCTGGTCTAAGTTGCACCTGTTGTCCTAGTTTTAGCCATACCTTCTGCAGCCTGGTGTTTTGTCTGATCCTGGAGTTGGACATGGTACATTTAGGAGGTTTAGCTAGTGACAGCAGATTGGGTCTGCATTGCTTTATTCTTACCCTCCAATCAGACTGCATCTTCTGCTGTTGCTGGTCCCATAACTGGGTCAGTGCAGGGCCATAACTGACTGTGGTCCATGATTTATTGAAATGTTTTTGTGTTTTTAGGAGGCCATGGCAAAAATGGCAAAAGTGGGTAAAGTTGTCTGGCCAGATGATGAAGTGAAATGGTGAGACATATTTGGACCCCCCCCCCCCCAAACAGCGTTATTATTATTATTATTATTATTATTATTATTATTATTATTAGAGTTCTGACCTTTTAGACATTATTTTTATTTGGGCCTTTGAACGAGATCTCTTAGAACATACCTGGTTATGTATTATATATTATTTAAAAATAAAAAAAATTACCTTGGCATTTTTACACTACCCCAGTTATCTTGTCTAAAGTTACAGATGTTTTCCTTTACCTGTACCACAGCTTCTATAAGAGGAAGAAAAGCGTGTTTTTCCGCCTTATCGACCACCAGAGGGAGTACCAGGCCCTCATGAATCCAAGATGACAGTGACATGATGTACAATTTGGAGATGGATAATTTGCTCACTGGAAACATACCTGAAAAACCATAGTGAATTACTTTTAGTGGTTTACTTTTTCCACTTTGCTGTTTCAAAAGGGAAATCTTATTTTTGATAATCTAGTGGGTGAGCATATTTTATGATCACAATTGATTGATTAATTAATGACAATTGATTGATTAATTGATTACACAATTTGCTTTTTACTTTTTATTTGAATTATTAAAATCATTGGATTTGATACAATATTGAAAATATTAAATCCTCCTGTGATCTGATGATACAAAATGCATTCCAGTAAATGGTTAATTCTGAATCTTGTGTGGTACATGATCTTCTTTTCCTGTATGCATGTCGTATAGGTTAACAGGAGCTCTTCAGATCAAAGATGACATGCTCCTTGCTGATATCCTTAACCTAAAGAGGAGGACACCAAATCCTCCACAGCTGAGGTAACAGTCAGCTAAAATAGGACCCCTCATTATGAAGGGAACGGGGTTAGCACTACTGGCCAAAGCAAGCACACTCTTTGTTCAATAAAGTCATGACTGAGCAAGTTTGTTGACTGCAAAACCAACAAAACTGACCTTGTCTCACACAGGAAGTTGTTATAAGAACTTTTGAAGCTTTTTTGTTATTTATATAATAAGAACAACTCAGATTAACTAAATACATTGATGTAGAAGAAATTGAAAGTAATTAAAATTATGTTGTACATAAGCTGTACGTTAGCACCTACTTTGCCAGTGAAGTAAAAGAGAAACCTAATATAAGATATCTGAATAAATTTTTAACACCTTTCTGACATTATTTGCTCAATATGTTGTTATATAATATGTTGATATTATCTTCCCTTTACCCATGTCATTTTTTTTGTAATTACCACAGACTTACTATGCTCCCTTATTGTTAAGTAAGGACTCGGTAAGTCCATGTTAATGATCTGTGCTATGGTTTGGATGAGGTGTGTAGCGCAGGTACTTCTTGCCTGATGGCAGCTCTTTCGTGTAGACACCAGCAGGAAACAAGGTGGCTGCCTCTTGTTCTGATAGAGCTGGAGGCACCATCACACAATCTCCAGGCTGAAGAGACAAATTCTCTTAAAATATGGATTTGTTCATATGTTTCACTTATATACAGTATATATTTCATTTTTTAAATTTATTTTACTTTGCCTTGTAATGCAATGCCTAACATAATGCTTATTTTATGTGGGGACATGGGCCTTACCTGCCAGTCAGCTGGAGTGGCCACCTGTCTGCCTGCTGTGAGCTGCAGTGAGTCCACCACTCTCAAAATCTCATCAAAGTTGCGTCCAGTTGTAGCAGGGTAGAGGATAGACAGTTTGAGTTTTTTGTCTGGGCTGATGACAAAAACCTATGAACATGCACAATAGCAACATGATTATAGCTGCAAGTGTTAGAAGAATTAATGAAACTTCCCAGGGCCTCACACATCGCGCTGTCAGTGGCATGCCATCTTTGTCTTTCTCATCTGGGTCCAGCATGCCTAGAGCCACTGCCAGATCTCGTTTACTGTCCGCGATGATGGGAAAGGGCAGTGAGACACAAGATGACTCTTCACAGTTGTAAGCAAGAATATCCTAGTTTAGAGGAACAGCACTCAGTTACTTTCAAAACTGTAGACAGAGATAAGGGATCATAAAGCTGAGCGTGCGTAGACACTACATAAATGTGCTGTCTGTTTGTCTAGAGCCAACCACAAATTATGTGAGTAAGTGTGAGTAACATTTTCCAAAGTACCTTGGTCCAGCTGTGGTGGTCCTCCACAGAGTCGACAGAGAGAGCAATGATTTTGACATTCCTTTTGGTGAACTCACTGCTGAGTCTAGCTGCTCGGCCCAGCTCTGTGGTGCACACAGGTGTGTAGTCTCTGGGATGAGAGAATAGGATGCCCCATCTGTATAGACACCACAGGACAAGTGAACGAATCACTTAATAGTGGATTTAACTGTAGAGCAACCAAGACCGGAGATATCTGTATGAATTGTGAAGTAGCTGAACTCAAGTAGGCAATTGGAATATTCCTTTTGAAGGGGATATTAAAAAAAAAAAAAAAAAACAGTGGCTAAAAGGCTGTAGTAAAATACTTTTATTACTTACGATTCCCCAAGAAATTCATGTAGTTTTATCCTTCCAACTGTAGTCTCCGCTTCAAAATCAGGAAACACATCTCCGAGCAACAATCCGGACATGATCAAAAGTGTGATCTGCTACCTTCAACAAGACTGACAGCAGCGGAAACGCCTCCGTGTGAATCTAAACCGCGGACACCAGCATCTTTTGAGCGAAGTTCCAGATTTGATGACGTGTTAAAATACGGCATTCTCGTTCTTTATTTATAAAATATAAAATATATATATATATATATATATATATATATATATATATATATATATATATATATATATATATATATATATATATATATATATATATATATATATATATATATATATATATATATATATATATATATATATATTTTTTTTTTTTTAAATGTGAAATGTGAGTAGTTTAAAGGAATGCATTCCATGTTGCGCGTTGTTCGTTTATGCTTTGTGACTTATTAGCCACGTGACCAGAGCGGTCAGCGCGCAACTTTGTGTACAGATTTTGCGTCAGCGGCAACAAGGATTAAAATTTTCCTATCAGCGGTCAAAGAACTTGACTTCGGAAAATGTCCACCTCGGTGTTCAGGCGGAATAGTTGCCGCGGAGGGTCGTGCGGCGCTCGGACATCAGCGGAGAGCAACCGGCGAAGAAGCTCCAGCTGCTTTCCACCTGGGGCTCAGGCTGAAGACTTCTCTGTGAGCCTCAACCAGCCCATAATTTCTATCGCTCTTCGCTTCTTCTTAGCCATAGACCTGTGGCTGTCCAAGCGCCTCGGCGTGTGCTCCTGTGAGGAGGCTTCGTGGGGGAGCATACGTCCCCTGGTCCGGCTGGTGGAGTTCTCAGGTCATGCCGCTCCATGGCTTTTCGGCACGGTGTACACGCTCCTCCGTGTGGAGACTGCAGAGGAGCAGGAGATCATGCTCAACCTGACTCTGGGTGAGTTTGTACTCAGTGTTTTTTGTTGTTGTTTTGTTTTGTTTTTGTTTTTGTTTTATATAGGCCTATATTATAACTTAAAAAAATAGATAAACATTAATAGAGTGATGCTTCTTGACTGGCATTATAAAAAAGCCAATCTTTTTTATTATAATGAGAAATATATGATAATTAGGCCTATTTTAAGTTGTTTTCCGTCAGTCAGCCAATATATTTAGTCCAGACGCATTGGGCTCATTAGACTGTTGCAGATTTTGTAAGTCACCTAATTTCAGTTCATAGAGGATTGAATGATTATGAAAATAGCTAATCACAAACCTGTGTGCCTGCAGCAGCTTCATGCACTGTTTGTGTGTCCCCATGACCAAAAAAAGATCAGCCATGGAAAGTTTTCCACTGTCGAGCCACAGCTGTGGGATCTGATGGACATGCACGTGACAACAGTGCTTTTTCCGTACTACAGATTATCATTGCTCATTGACATTCACCAGTCAGAACTAATTCAGATGTATTTTATATAATCTTGACAGTCAGAGACATACCCTCACATCTTTGATATTATTTTTGCCATAGTATATTTAGTTTACATGGCCAATTCATAGGGACATCACGACTTTTTCAATGGATTGTGTTGTCAAAAAATATTACCCTGTGTCTTTTAAAAAGTATTTGTGTGTGTTATGTATATAAGTTTTTATTCAAATGTTCAAAAAAAGTTCAAAAATAATGCAGACTGAAAACCTCTTGTATTTTAATCAAAATCACAAAATGTATGAGCCTATTGTGCGAAATGTATTTAATTGGCTACCTTAATAACATTTCTGATCACAACAGACAACACATGTTGTCTCACATGTCCATTTAATACAAGGGACTCCAACCTGGACCATTGGAGCTACCAGTAGCTCTCCACCCCTTTCCAAGCACCTCGCCAAGGGATTTATGAATTATACGTATTGGGCTGAATAACTAAAATTAGATTATTATCATTGTAAATCTGACATTTTGATGCCTAACTTTGTGCATTGATAAATGGAGAATGGTTTATAGGCCTAAACTGTACCCATCTAAGGATTGCTGTGGCTCTTATATAATAAATTTCTTGCATGCACTAAAATGTGTAGCTCTCTGACGTTTTTGTTTTGTAAATGTATCTCACCAGAGAAAAAAGGTTGGAGAGCCCTGATTTAATATTTATTTATTATTTACCTTTCAATTTTTTATTTATTATTGTAAATCAGATCACAAAGTCATAATTTTAGTAAATTATATTAAATATCAAATTTGTATTTGCAGCTTTGCTTCTAGACCTGATGATGGTCAAACTTCTGAAACGGTTGGTCAGACGTCGAATGCCTGTCCAAAACCGATCGGACATCTTTTCTACCTTTTTTGTGGAGAAGTATTCTTTCCCATCTGGCCATGCCACACGGGCTGCCCTATGTGCTCGCTTCCTGATGGCCCAGCTTGTGGACACTTACTCAATGCGGGTGCTGGTCCTGGGATGGGCTTCTCTGGTCAGTCTGTCCCGACTGTTGCTGGCCAGACACTATGTGACAGATGTGGGCTTCGGCCTGGCCATGGGCTACTGCCAGTATGGGCTGGTAGAGCGACTGTGGGTGTCCTGGGATTGTCTGCAGGATGTCCTGCTGCTCAAAGTGAGGGAGAGGTTCACCAGAGCCTACAGTTAACTGTGGACAGCAGACTGGGCTCTGTAGAGTATCTGAAAGAAGAGAAAGAACTGTGATTTTCACACATTGGATAATATTTGTTATACTAAAGAAGGATCTTTGAGGAGCACCTAAAGAGGCCTGTATATCACCAGGCATCACAGTTTGAAAACTACTGGTATTAAAAAAGCCTATTGTATTTGTCACAGTTTGTTAGTAATCACTGAGAGTTCATTGTTCTTAGGAAATTAAAATAATTTACTGACAATTTGTGCTTTACTAACAGTAAAGTATTGAATTTATTATGACCTGAAGAAAATGTTAAGATTGTATAAGTTTAAGACTGATCTCATATTGATAAGATTATAAGACTGATTTCAGGTTTGGTAAATAATGCTCAGAAGTTTTGAAAAAAATCTTAAAAGATTTATTTATTAAGTGACACAGTGGATGTCTTACTGAGTGAGAGCATCAGTTTCCTTGCCCATCTCAGGTTTCTGTCACTTGTAGGCTTCAGATCGCCCACTACATCTCAGCCATAAGAACTGTTTATGCTTTTGACCATACTGTTTGGATGTGATACCAATCAATTTAATTTAACTAAGCATTTAAAAAAAAATATATGTGCCAATATGATTTGCTGCTTTATATCGGTGATGTCTGTGTTTATAGTTATCATAACAAACATGTAGAAATAGACATATATTGTTCAGTAGTGAAAAATATTTTTTCTGTTCATTGTATAGGTATTATAATTCTGTATTTCTTTATTAAAATGTGAGGATGCAGATTTTTTTCATATTTTTATTGACAGATATTTAAACCGATGCAAAAAATACAGCGAACATTGTGAAGATATTCCAGCAGTTCCCTAATGTTATCTTAGAGCCATACATAGCAATACAGTATTGCTGCATGCCATCTTTAGTCTTTTATTTAGAAAACTATACATATATATTATATACGTGCAGAAATATCTATGCAGATTTGGTTTTGTATCAAAGTCCATAAACTGTGTTGTTGAAGCCTAGCTGGTGATCTGGCTAGATCTCTCCAGCAGCCTGAGGTCATAGGTCACCATGTTGAAGTTGTCCCAGGCAAACAGCTTCCTCAGGGCATGGTTGTAGTCTACCATGCTGTTGTACCTGTACTTGTTTTTGAAAGGAATAGCTACAGCCTTCCCCGCATTTGTGGATGTGTCAAACATGTAATTGATGGTGGTATTTGGTGCGGTGTAGCTGGCTACTGTGTACAGACACCCACAGATCATGAATGCATTTGCCACAGTTTTCTTCCTGATGTTTGTCTCCCAGCTTTGCCTCACCTCCAGACTCTCTGGATCCAGTTTTGAAATAACAATGGCACCTTTTGCTTCATCTGTGCTGTAGATCGCCCATAGTCCTTGCTCGTCCACTGCCAGGTCGATGTCTGTGCGCCCCCCCCAGGAGTACGGGTGCTGACCATGAAAACTGGCGTGGGGCAAATCCTGTTGGTTCACCAGGCTCTCTGATGTTAGGTCGTAGCGGATGATAGTTCTGCTCTGCCTGCGCTGGTAGTAGAACGACCCTCTATAGACTGTGGCTCCAGTGCTCTCCACAGGTTCAGGCAGCTGGAGGACCTTCATTGGGAACCCACGAGAGAACTGGTTCATGTCTTCATATGCAAAGAGCTGGCGAACATCTTTGCCCACTGCATCGATACGCCACACTGTGTTGGTGGTATAAAGAGATCCCTGGGGTTCTGGATCCTGCAACCACACACCGTACTTCCCGGTGATGCTTTCTGCCTTTTTGTGGGACACGGGCTCTTCAACAGTCACAAGCTCTCCACAACCTGAGGAGGAAAAGAACAAAAAAGACAAAGATCACCAGGTCAGGTTTAAGTTGAATGTTTCCAAACCACATTATTAGGTTTTTATGCCATCCTCTGTGTGTATTTTTAACCATTTTAAAATAGACTTATTCTAGTGCATACTATCCATCTAGGTCATATTGTAACTTCCCGGGTAGAGGGTCTGGTGGAAGTCAGGGACCTGCTTGCATCCAAGGAGATGTTCACAGCAGGAATGATTGTTTTCTAAGGTATTCTTTAACCATATAAAATATAAAAACATCTACATTTAGGTAAGCAATTATGAATATCATGTGCAATAAATATGTACCTTTATTTAATGTTTGGTTTCTCTCTGGTAGAAGATGAGAAGCAGGAACCTCTGTCACCTCTGCCCTCATCTCCTGGTATGCATCAGTGCTCAAACTATTTTCAGAACCTGAAAAAGAAAACAGGCCACGTGAAGCATAAACAAGCATGGATGGGCACATAGCTGCAAAAGAAGTGTTGTAAATTCCTATACCTTTACCCAACAAGCGGATAACTGCAACTTGACCCAGTACCCCCTGGAGTGCAAAGGCCAATAAGTGTCTTTGCAATTCCAAAAAGTGGATCTAACTGAGGGCATGACAATCATGACTAGTATTTAAATTAGATATAATTACATACATTGCAAAATATATGTATATTCATTTTTTGTACTAACATATCTGAAATCAGTTCAAAGAGACTTGTTCGGTTTATTTTAATGCATATATTTTTTCAAATTGTAGTTTCACATGTTAGTTTACATAACTTACTCAATGCAATTTAAAATCTTTTTTGTGCAGCCTTCTCTCTCTTTAATCTCTTTTATTATCACGACATACATACTGACGAGTACCATGTTCTTATATTGTAACTCATACCAGTGTTTGGGCTGTGTCCTGTGTGGGGCTGACATGGCTTTAGTCTGAGACTCTCCACCTCCAGACTGGTCTTGGACAGTCTCCTCTGCAGCTCCTGGATCTGCTTGGTAAGCCTCTCTATGTCTTGTTGCAGCTGATCCCTCTCCCCTGTCACCTGGGTGTAGGCCTCCTGAAGACTCCTCTCTCTATCAGGCTTAGCTTCCCCATCAGTTCCTCCCACGAGCCTGCTAACCAGCGCTTCCAAAAGGGTGAGTCGTGACAGAAGCCCATCTATCTCTGTTAGACCACCTGGGCAGTGGCTGGACCCCTCCGGACTGGACACAGAGAAGATGTACTGGCATTGTCCCTTATCATCCTGCCTTTGAGTGAAAGATCCTTGGTTTTCAGCGAGATTCCAGCTAAACAAGGTACAGCCACATACAAACAACACTTGGACCCACATTTCGTTTCTTTTCTCTATTCTTTTTGACTTCTGTTCAAGGAGCAGGTCTAAATCTTGACTGTCCTGGGACTTGGATATTTATACAGTGAAGTGTCTTTGAGGTGGGAGGGGGTCAGGAGAGAGGTGGGCTTAAATAACTGGGGGTGTGGTGTGTTACAAGCATCCACGTGTTTGTGTTATAAGTAAAAACAGTAAAAGTACAGACACTTTTTCATTGCCTCTCAGCAGTTGGTGCATTTTTGCATGTTGTTTTGGCTGAAGAGTACCTCCTAATATCTCTGTCAGCTGTCGCTCGGTTTATTTCCCCTTTAACTCACAGTTATGGTCATGTCAATAAGTGTAGTCTGCTTTATGGGATGGCTCAAGGCTGTTGTGGTGTATGTTAGGGTATGTGGGCAGTTTTGTAACTCATTAGCAGTAATACAGGCCTGCACCTTACGCCCCTCATCTCAGTGGCACTGGAATGTCTGGGATGCAGCAAGTCGTCAGTCTGGAGAGAAAAGTATCAGAGGCTGTCATTACTGCCCAGCACACATCTTACACGCAAAAGAAATAAGAAGCAAAACACGATTCCAATAACAACATGATGGAAACAGATTATGAAAGCAGGCTACTTAAAGTAGATGTAAATGATATATATTTTTATTACTACTTTATTTTGCTGTTTGTAACAGTGAAATAAAATGACATGAAATGGCATGAAATGAAGGCATATTGCATTTTGTGGGCTTGGCACCACTCCTTAGGTCACTGATAATATGTAAACTGTTTTATAAAACAATTTGATTTGACTTGTTACTCATGGTATACCCCTGACAATACTGAACATCTATCGTGTAACTTTAAGTTAGCACAGGAAGGAAATGCCAAAGTATTAAGACAGAGGTGATGCACGTGATCTGGGGCCACATTGGTGTATTGTTTAACTATCGCCATAAAAGTGACAAACTTTTGTCAAATCTTTTGCACTTATGTTTTAAGACTATTTATGGATCTTGGGAAGTGGAGGAGGTTGGCTGTGTTTTTGCAGTAGGTATGTTTTTGCTATATTATTCCTGTAAAAGCTTCATCTCCTCCTTTTCCCTGAGCACTAGAGCTCTTCTGCAGATCCCCTCACTATTTACCAAACTAAGTCTGTTGGGATCTAGCATTATTCAAATGCTTTATGTAGAAGCATTAATCTCTGGCCCTCTGAAAGACTTGGTTTCGTTCTCACAATAGAGATATACATCACAATTGTCTGATGTATGGAGCAGAAAGAACTGCATATTTAATTATAATATTATATAGGCTGTAAAATTTCATAAGAATATCAAAACTTTTAATGTGACTGTTTATTTTAGAAAGGCATTTTATGGCTGCTTCTAGCAAGCTTAATGTAGTTAGGTACACCTCTATCTATCTATCTATCTATCTATATCTATCTATCTATCTCTCTCTCTCTCTCTCTCTCTCTCTCTCTCTCTCTCTCTCTCTCTCTCTCTCTCTCTCTCTCTCTCTCTCTCTCTCTCTCTCTCTCTCTCTCTCTCTCTCTATCTCTCTCTCTCTCTCTCTCTCTCTATATATATATATATATATATATATATATATATATATATATATATATATATATATATATATATATATATATATATATATATATATATATATTCACAGTTTTTGTTAGCCCATTCTCTAATCACTGAATTCAAAGTGATATCTCTTTTGCTTAATATCTACAGACTTACATATAGGTTTGTGATGTTAAGTACTTCTGAAATATGAAAAAACAGTTTGTTCATCCTGCATACCTTCCATCAAAATACCAATATCCGACCGTCCTGATCCATATTTATGTTCTTAAACTCTAAATAGACAATAGGCTATGTTTTCACTAAAATAAATGGGTTATTTATGGTTCTGCAATGATGAAAGATCACGCTTAACCTTTGCCAAGTGGCGTAGCTTTATTTTGTGACTTATTCTTTGGGACAAACACATTCCACCAAAGTGTAGTCACAGGCTTGTCAGGCGTCGTCAGATGGATAGAGGAGATGCATTCAAAGGCACACAAAGGAATTTAAAAATGTTTCCCACTGGCGACATTTGTTTTATATAAATATGTGTTTATTGAATTCTTTAAGTGATAATGTATATATTCAACAGTTACAGTAGATTACTCTTTTTAACTCATGCTTTGTTTACAGGCCAGACTCCGCCTAATAACAGTTTTAGTATTGTGACTGCTGACAGTCAGATATGCTTCGTGCAAAAAAATGGAAGAGCAATTGTTAGAATTATAATTTTTTAAAAATTATTTAACCTTTTATACAATGCAATCAGTGATAACTCATTGACATTAGAAGTCCTGGCCAAGAGATCAACAGAATGTATGAAACTTGCTCATTCACTACAGCGTAAAGCCTATTGATGTGGTATTTTGGGTTGGACTTGTCAACATTGATGTTAAGGTTGAAAATTAAATAATGTTTTACATTGCCGATAGCTATAGCTGCCCATATCACCTTGAGAATGCCCAGTTTTAGCAGATGTCACCTAAGCTAGGCTAAACTAAGCAGGGTTGGGCCCAGTGAGTACTTGAATGGGAGACTGCTGGACAGGTGCCATTATGATCTGGTAGTGGGACTACTGCATGCTGTCCTTGTGTCCTTAATCAAGACACTTCATCCACCTTGCTTAGTAAAAAATGTCGTGTGTGACTGAGTATTGGGCCAGTGCTGCAGGTTGGCAGTGTTATTTTCATCAGTCTGCCCCAGGGCATCTGTGGCTACTTTAATGAGTGATTGAATAATCCACTGTAAAATCCAATGCATTATTACTGCTTCTATTATCATAGGATGAGTGTTTTTAATAAACTGTAAAGTCTCCACTCACTATATTATATGATGAAGAAGCCTTAACTCTATGGCACATTTTAAAGACAGGAAGGGGAGACAGGCTGATTCCGTCACAGCACACGCCTGTTCGCCCTCATGGGGTCAGAGTTCATGGCCCTGCACCCTCTCATGTCCCACCACAGGGTGAGGTTTTATAGGCCTATACGTTCAGCTCTGCCTCAAAACTTACAGTTCTGGAAGAACAAATAGCCTATATACACATCCTGTTTTTTAAAAGGTCACAAACATAATACACAGCAGATATAAAAAACACTTACGTTACGTAATCGACATTTCATTAATGCATGTAGGCCTATTCTTGTTATTATCATGGAAAGGCTCCTCAGGCAAAGCTGAAATTGTTACAGTGCCATCTAGCGTCTTCTCATGCCACTACCCCTTACCATGATGAACAGGCCCAACTCCAAACTTAATCGATTTCGTATAACAGTCAGTCTAACGGGTGGGGGCGCACTGAGCGGACCCTGTAATGTTTTTATATCACAATACACTGCCTGTCACGGTGGCATCAGACTGACAGAGGAAGGTGCATCCTATCGTGGGACTATTTCTTTAATCTACAGAACTGACTTTCTCTTTTGCCTCTTGTAACAATAAATTGACACCTAGACCATTCACTGTTCTAATAGGATTTTAATTTTGATTATAACATCACAGTTATACCAATTCGATTGTATTGGGTATACGGACTAAACTAAACAGCATAAACCAGCCGAACAAGCAAAATGAACCAGTGTGCCAAAATCTCATCCACCCACACACTAAGGCATCTTCCTGACTTATATGACAAAAGGATCCGATGGTTTCATTGTAAACTAATCAAAGGACTGTCAGTGCCCGCAGCGTTGATGAAATGACAGATTTATGTTTGGTAGATGGCTGCTACTGCGGGGAATATGTCCACCTCTTGTGTTGCAGCGATGCGCAGTCGTGCCGCATGACTCACAAACGGCAGAAATGGCACGGATGTAAACAGGGGCGGGCTGAGCTGCTCCGAACCTGACCTCCAGCTCCAATCACAATGCACGCCTTTCTGACTCCACTTAACTGCGTCTTTCTCATTGGCTGCGTGCGCTGCCTGTACACTGACGTAGGGGAGGTGCAGCCTCGCAATTACACCGCGGAAAAGAGGAGAGAGAGGGAGAAAAAATGATTAATCTGTCAAACGCAAATTTGTGTTGCGAATAGGAGCTCACTGACATTCAACCGACCGCGATCCGTGCTGTGAAAAACCGAAGCTGCATTAGCATTGGGGAGTTGTTGGCGCTTGTGTTGGCTAGGATTGTCTTTGCCACTTGTCTCTGGTGCTTGTCGTCGTTTCAGCACTGGACAGCGACCAGGACGAAGGGACACTGCAAACAACGAGGATCTCCTGAGGCGAGGTAACACCAGCCAGCGTACAGCATAGCAATGCAACCACCAGCTCTGTATGTGTTAGCTCATCAGATTTGTGCTGAGATTTTATGTGCATGCACCGTTCTTCTGCATTCATTATCTGACATATACATCATTATTCATGGCGGTTTGACAGTAAAGCTGTCCTTATCAAATGCCCTTGACACGAGCAGAACATTGGCAAGGTTTTCTGTTTGTGTGTGAGAGAGGCGGCCTGGTGTTGGTGGTTAGCAACTGCGCAATTGTCTGTGCTGTGTGTTCTCCTCTCCCGGTCTCTCTTCACCTCTTCCCTGTCTGCTTCCTCCTGCTACAACAGTCCGTCCGAGCCTCGCTTTGGCCCGGGGCAGCGCGCGGCTAGATGACTTCACTACATCAACAAGCACCGCGGTATCCTGGACTAATATAGCAGCGCCACATCCCCTATTCCCCCACCTCTTCCTCCTCCTCCTCCCTGTCTCTGCTGTGTCTCCATTCGCTGATCCCCGGGTCCGGCTACTAAAGGCACCATGGGAAACCGTGGCATGGAGGAGCTGATCCCGCTGGTCAACAGACTGCAGGATGCCTTCAGCGCCATCGGACAGGCCTGCAACCTGGACCTGCCGCAGATCGCTGTGGTGGGCGGCCAGAGCGCAGGGAAAAGCTCCGTGTTGGAGAACTTTGTGGGCAGGTAAAAATGACCACCAGAAATAGGATAATCCCCTCTCCTTGACGATGACATAAGAGGCCTATGAGGCCAAGCTCCCAGCGCAGAGTTCAAAGCATCTTTCAAGCTTTGATGTAACAAACACCTCATGTGCTGGTCCCATGCAGGATTACTGCAGGTGTCTGTGGAAGAGGTTGGTTTGTAGGTTACATCTGTATTAACAGGACCTGCAGCTCAAAACATGCTCACGGAGTCCTAGAATAACCTCACTGTTAGCATCCTCTTTGCTGACTCAGTTGACTTCAATTCAGTTTTTAGTTCACCTTTAAGTATCGTTTAACTTTTGTCCTTTCTCTTTGGTAACTTATAGTCTAATGTTGATGGTGAAAACAACACTTTCTTGTTGAATATAAATTCAGTTGCTTTAGAATCATTAATTATTTGTTAAAATTAATTGTTTTGTTTTTATTTGATAGTTTTAAAACCAAATTAGTTGCTAGCCACAGATTTACTACTAGTGAAGACTCTAAAACTGTTAATTGTATTCATCAGTGTCCCCGTGCTAGTACAATTTTTAATATCAGCAGCTCAGTTTCAAATGCAGCTACAGTAATCTCTTTGCTAATTCATTGTAGTAGATCTAATTTAAACATGCTGTTAAGGCAGTAGTCCTTATAGAATGGAGGTTCTTTGTTTTTAGTAGTTCACAGGTTGTTTAAGTAACTTATCTTTGTTTATATTTGCTCATTTATATTTCAGTATAGTTGGTGTGGTCCATTCTTATTTGAATTTACAGTAGTAGGTGACCTCAAGCAAACAGGGCCCACGTGTTCCTGTGCTGTAAGATGGATTGCATTGATTTAGTTTTGTTGCAGCCGTCATTGTGATTGGCCCTGCTGACTAATGGTCCTTCTGTCTGGGATTTCCTTTACACTGTGCTGAATGTTCAAGTGGGCAGGTCTATTTTCTACACCCATCCTCTGATATCTGGGGTTCTGGAGGCTGATGTCTTGTTATCTTCGGTAGTGATATGATATGAGTGCATAGACAAAAAATGTTTGTTAAATACAATAAATAATGGACTAGAATGAAGCCACCACTAAACTAGGGTATATTTTGTCTAGGACTTTACCAGGACAAAACCATATGGACTAAACTAATCCCTGGAATAAAATATGACAAAATCTGGATTTAACCTGGTCTATTCTATGACAATATTGTTTTTATAACACTCTAAAACAGGGGTAAGCAATTATTTTTCCATGGGGTCACATGAGAAACAGAAAATATTGTGGAGGGCCTGGCCAAAATGCTTAACTCAATTCTGCATAATATTAATTGTATTTCTTTATTAAAAAAAACAAACAAACAGTAAATAGCATTGTTTTGACAAGCTGGTAAGACTGGTAAGAGTTTATGTTATGACTAAGCAATGAAAAAGTGAGGTTTCTGTACAAAAAAAAAAAAATAAATAAAGATCTTAAACAGCCTGGTCAGAGTCAACCAAAGGGCCATATGTGGCCCAGGAACTGTACAATGCCCAGGTCTGCTCTAAACCAAAATTAAGCAGCATAGACTATAAACTTTCAATACATTATGCCACAGTTTTCGTAGTCCTGTTGTTATGTAGCTAAACATACTTGAAGAAACAAAAACACCTATAGTAAAAGGTAACTGATGTCTGTTCCTGTGTATATGAGTCTGATAAAAAAAATTTTCTCAGGGACTTCTTGCCCCGTGGATCTGGCATTGTCACTCGTAGGCCCCTGGTGCTGCAGCTTATCAGCTCAACTGCAGGTGGGTGCAGCCAAAATCACACCCCCGCACATGCACACATATTCTCATGCAGAAACCCTGCATTTGTAATTATCTTTTGACTGGATATTGCCTCTTACAAACAGTTAGATGTGCTGCTAATCTTTGCCCCATATTACTCTTTTCAGAATGGGCTGAATTTCTTCACTGTAAAGGGAAAAAATTCACAGACTTTGATGAGGTCCGCCAAGAAATCGAGGCTGAAACGGACCGCGTCACAGGAGCCAACAAAGGCATCTCTCCAATCCCCATCAACCTAAGGGTCTACTCTCCTCATGGTACAGCTCCCATTTCTAAATTAGGACTTGATACTAATGAATGATTTTTCATTTGATCAAGTAACTCTTCAAGTAACCATGGGATCAATATTTGCCTGAATTATAAATAGAAACAAACATTTATATAACTAATAGAGAAGTAATACTTCAGGTGCAGATTGTATTCAGTGATGGATTCATATTGCACTTATCCTGATATTGTCTAATCAAAATGACAAATGTAAACATAATGGATATGTTGCTTAACTAAATCTAAATGTGTACTGGTTTGTTGATTTGAAGTATCTGAGCTCTCCCATTTTCGCCCCTGCAGTGCTGAACCTGACTCTGATCGACCTGCCGGGGATCACTAAGGTCCCTGTGGGAGACCAGCCAGCCGACATCGAGCAACAAATCCGGGACATGATCATGCAGTTCATCTGCAGAGAGAGCTGCCTCATTTTAGCAGTGACCCCTGCCAACACTGACCTGGCCAACTCAGACGCCCTAAAACTGGCCAAGGATGTGGATCCACAGGGTAGGATCAAACTAAAACATCCACCTTTGATTATACTGTACTAACATAGTGGAATTTCTCTTGTTAATTTGGGAATTAACTTGGTTAAATACCAAATCATCAAATGATTTTTGGTCGTAAAATATTTTAAATGATTAGCCTCAAAAGATTTTAAAACTTTTTCTTTCAAATGCTCTATAAACTTGTTCTCCACACCACAAGTTGTTGGTAAACACACAGATCCCTCCTCCTTTCCCTTTACTGGGAAGCTGATGTTTATTTAATGAACAAAATGAAGCTTGACAAGTAGTTACAGTAATTTGTCAGTGTACCGCAAATTTAATTCATCAGCCACCAGAAAGGTGACACAAAGTCTAGGAATAGCAAACATTTGTACATTTTGAAAATGTTATTATTTGACTTTTATCTCACAAAACAGTTACATTGCAGTGAGTATTACTTTTGCCAGCACAACCTATTTGAATGGAGGTGCAATGGTTAGATGGAGTGACCTTGTGCTCTGACCTTTTTTCAATGTGAATGTTGAAACTGAATTTTCTTCCAAGGATCGATCAAGTGTAAGAGTATTAATAGCATCTACGAGGAAACCTAAGAGCAAAGGAGAGGCTACGAAACACACAAATCAAACTGTAAGTGACTGAAAGTGAAGGGAGCCATGTTGGAATTAATCTTTCAAGCTACGTAAAGGTTAAAAAGGACAATTGAATCAGATGGAGTTTTACATCCCAAGACTTTAACCTTCAGACGTGGAGAAGGACGCAGAGGAAGGTGAATTGGCAGAAAGAGAGAGAGGAGAGACAGGGGGGTGGGGGTTGGACAAAGTGTCCCAGCTCATGATGCTCAAAAGGATGGAGAATCAAAAACAGAGTACATTAGACAGGAGGAGCAGCAGGAACACAGAGAGGCAAATGCATTAATGTATTTATTCATGCTTATATCCAAGAAATCAAGAACAACCAGAAGCCTTTGAATTGTAGATTAAAGCCTCCTTCTCTAATTTGAAAATGCACTGAAGAATTCCTAAACGATACAAAAAAAAAAGATAAGAAGAGACATTACATTCATTCTGATCTTCAGTATTAAGATTGAAATTGTCCATTACTGAGTCAAGTTTATTATATTGCACAAGTTTAAATGAGCAAATCCACTTAGTGCTATGCAACAAGTGTTCACATTAAGCTTCTGCAATACATATATTTTACCTTTTCATTTTACACTATATGACTGTAATGGTTGTGCTGGCTATTTACAAGTAATGCTAATTCCAGTATATTTTTTGTGAAATAAAAGTCAAATAACCAAATTACTTAAACTGGCTGTATATGACTGTAACAGTCATACCTCTCAGATTGTTCTTGTGACTTATATTTTCATATCTAATATCAAAAAAAGTAAACCATAAGTATGACTGCGTAACCTGTCTTTTGATGTTTCTAGGTCTTAGAACTATTGGAGTGATCACTAAACTGGATTTGATGGATGAAGGAACAGATGCTCGAGACGTTTTGGAGAACAAGCTACTTCCACTGCGACGAGGTCTGTCTCCTTCATTTATACTTCTTCTAATTGTTGCTTGTTACTTATCAGTTTCCACATTTTCTGCAGGTTATATTGGTGTAGTGAATCGTAGCCAGAAGGACATAGATGGAAAAAAAGACATCAAGGCTGCCCTGGACGCTGAGAGGAAGTTTTTCTTGTCCCACCCAGCCTATAGGCATATGGCTGAAAAAATGGGTACACCACGCCTGCAAAAAATTCTCAATGAGGTGAACAGTTTTACAGCTTGTGTTTTGCATTGAGCACTTACAAGACTGATTAAAAGGTGGTTCAGTTTTTCCAATTGCACAGTGAGAACCAGATAATAATATAACACAGACAAACTCCAAAGCTGGTAGGGCACATTCCAATGATGTTATTATTTTATTGTGTTTGTGTAAAACTGGTGTAAAAATGTGTTAAGATTTTCATTTGTTTTTTTTTTTTGTCTCCATAGCAACTCACCAACCATATCCGGGACACGCTGCCGGCGTTCCGCAGTAAACTCCAGTCCCAGCTGTTGGCTTTGGATAAAGAGGCAGAGGAATACCGAGGATACCGACCCGATGACCCATCCCGCAAAACCAAGCAGCTGTTGCAGTCAGTCTACCATGCTTTATTTTCCCACGATGCAATTGTTTTCTCTTCAAATCATTTATCTTGATGATTCAGCATTTATTGTAGTGACATCTTATACTTTTTACTGTTAGGATGGTGCAGCAGTTCTCAGTAGACTTTGAGAAGAGGATTGAGGGTTCTGGTGACCAAGTGGATACAGTGGAGCTGTCTGGAGGTGCCAAAATCAACCGCATCTTTCATGAGCGCTTCCCTTTTGAACTGGTCAAGGTGCTTACAAATAATAGCCCATATACTAGTATATTTATATGTATATTATAATTATTATTATGTTGTATTATTATTTTCTATTAAGCTGTAATTATTATTGTACAATAATTAAATGTAATAAACAACTCAAAATCCATTCTGCTCTTTAGATGGAGTGTGATGAGAAGGAGATGCGACGTGAAATTAGTTATGCCATAAAGAACATCCATGGTATCAGGTAAGTTGAAACTATGTTTGTCATTAATTGTACAATAAAATTGCATTGATATTGTACATATCATAAATTAACTAACAACAAATGTGAACCACCAGTCACTGGAGTTGGGGGTAAAGAGTGAGAAATGTATTTAGGCATTCTTTAACAATATAAGTGTATTCATCTTCTTGATTGCCTGTAGGACTGGACTGTTCACCCCAGACATGGCGTTTGAAGCCATTGTGAAGAAGCAGGTGATAAAGCTGAAGGAGCCCTGTGTGAAGTGTGTGGACATGGTCATCCAGGAGTTGATCAACACTGTGCGCCAGTGCTCCAACAAGGTCAGTGTTGTGGGCTCTGGGGTCTCCTGTCTGTTTCTTTGACAAAATATTTTCTTATTTTTCTGTCACTACCCAAATTTCAATCTGAGAAAGCAGTTATGGTCAATTAGGTTGATCGTTAAAGCAGTTTATCTAAGCTTTAAAACCAAACATTAGCTGTATCTTTTAACACATAATTTAACATTGCACTCGGTGGCAAGTTGCTATGAATATTCAGAGGCATTTTGATGTGTTTACAGCTGGAATGCTTCCCCAGACTTCGTGAAGAGACTGAGAGAATTGTCACAACCCATATTAGAGACAGAGAGAGCCGGGCTAAGGAACAGGTACCACTTTTAAAATTTTACAGGCACTATTGAAAAAGTATTGTATGAATTGTTGAAAATGTATGTTACATCTTGTTTTTATACAGGTGTTGTTACTGATTGACATTCAGCTTTCATACATCAACACCAATCATGAAGACTTTATTGGATTTGCCAAGTAAAGATTCCTTTAAATAAAAGATTAAAATAGAGCTGTTCCTTTGCTCTGACATGTGTTTGTGTCATTACATTGCAGTGCGCAGCAGAGGAGCAGTCAGACCAACAAGAGCCAGGGTGCAGCAGGGAATCAGGTGAGACCTGTCACATTCTGATGTCATAAAGAAACAGAACAAGAGGAAGGTCATCAGAGCCTGAGCATAACCACTGCAGTCTCCCATCCGCAACGATTCTATTCTCCCTGTCGATTTAATTGTGTGTTATTATTCTCATTTAATCTAATTTTATAAGTGACATCCACATTTCAATTATGAATGGCACTATATTTACTCTGTAATAGCAGAATCAATATTTTGGAGCTCATTGAGTATCACAGCTACAGTATATGCCATATAATTATCAATTTAGTTTCTCTGTTTTTCTTTTAACCAAACATTTTCATATTTATACAATACTGAGATTCACCTGTGGTCAGAATTCACTCTCTTTTGCAAATGTATTGTTTGTTTTACCAGTTATTTAGTTTGTTTGTTTTCTAAATGTCTCTGTCTAGTTGTAGCTTTCATGCCTCCATTACCAATGGTATTTTGAGACATTTCCCAATGTGTTTGAACCCCTCCTGTGTCATCAAGGTGCCATGTTGCATCCCAATTCCTTAGTGAGGTTCACTACTGCCCCCTAATGGTTGTCTGTTGGTGAGTATAGCTCGTTGTGGGTTCTGGCTTGCAATTTATTAATGGCTGTAGTAACAATTCTTCCCATTGCGTGGTGCTTTGTTGCACTGCTAACCATCTACTACTACTTGTTCCTTTGTGGTATTATCTTGGATTCCTGCTCTTAATAGGCTCGTATACTGTAGGCTGTGCTCGACAGGGGCACAGATTGCCTTGTGTCATTAGCACCGCAGGGAGTCTTATGGTTCTTCCTATTGCAGGCCTCCTCTCCTCCTGCTTCAGGTTTGATTGTAAGAGCTTATTCTCTGGCCCTTTACTCCTAACACCACTCCCACCTTTTTAACAAGGGGTTCCTAATATGTTGTACCCAGAAGCTCACCAAAAGGTTAAAGACCAACAAGGTTGGACACTGTGGTTAAAAATGTTTTTGTTCATTTTGTCAACTTGACCAAAATGTATACACTTTCCACTTATTTGAATAATTTATTAATTTAACTTGCATAAGTCAAAAATCTAGTTATCAACTGAAGATATTGGTTAAAAAAATATTGGCCCTTTTTGTCTGTAGTGTCTTGCCTTATTTTTTCTGGTAACCTTCTTTGTGAGTCAAAAACTTACAGATGTCTAACCCAATAATCACTAGGCACTATCCCCTAGGGTTGTTTATAAAAGCTTGTTGCATTAATATGGCTAATACACTCTTAACACACTCTTAACACAGTGGTCACTTAACAGTCTAATGCTGCAGGCCTGTGCTAGTACTGGACACTGACACTGCACTGATGATCTGAAGACACTAAACACGTCTAACCTCACACATCATCATTGTAAAGCAAATTCAGGGTAAATGAATATAATTCTAGTGTCTAACCTTTGACGTTCTTCATTCTTAGGTAATCCGCAAAGGTTGGCTGACCATCAACAACATCAGCATCATGAAGGGCGGAGCCAAAGAATACTGGTTTGTTCTGACTGCAGAGAGCCTTTCCTGGTTCAAAGATGATGAGGTGAGGTATCCCAGAAATTTGAACACAATTTAATGTCAATTAATTTATTATTATATTTTATTACATTTTAGTAGACATACTACACAATAATTATAAAATAAAAAAATAAAAAAATTGAGGATTGTAGAAGTTTCTCATTCACGGGTGGTGCTTGCATTGTCAGACTGATATCTGCCTGTCTGTGCCTGCTGTACAGGTTGGAGGACATTCTGCACAGCAAGTGTAGATAGGCAGACACACTGCAACTTTGGGAAAAAAAAAGGCTTTATAACACTATACTAAAGAGTTTCAAACAAATGAATATACTATAAGTAATAACAACAAATAATAATGTAACTGTACTTACAGAGCAGCACTACATTGAGCAATTTAGTACATTTTTTAAAATTCCATTTGGTAACTTGACAGCCATTCAGTGTCTTAGGCCAGTCTAACCATAACCATTCACACTTTCATTCAGTGGGTGTATATGGTGCCCATAGTATGCATTGGTAGCAGGGATCAAGCTGTCAGCCTTGGGGTTGGGTAAAACTCCTCCACCAACTGGGCTACTGCTGCCCATACCTCGTAGTGATATGTGCATGATGCGTTTGATATGTGTATGTGGTATATTAGTGCTGAAAATGTCGTACGTAATAAGATGCTTCTTCGCACATGTGCTGTTTTTTTTTGTTCAATTCATCATTACCGCAGTATAATTGTTTGTTCTGCTCTCTCGTCTTTCAGCTTAGACTTTGGGCCTTTGTTTTTTCATTGTGAATTTGGAGCTATCCCAATCTTAACCAAATGTTCCCTCATAGACACTCAGCAGCACCCAGACAGCACACATGGATTGCACAGCACTAGGTCCACACGCTGCCATTTGATACGTAAGTGTGGTGATGGAGCAAATTATAGACTGCCGTGGCTTATTATATATTTCAGCTGAACTTTCTATAGTCACATGCAAAGCGCACACACACACATGCATGTTCTTTTTCTGAGCGGAGTTGGCAGTAAGTTTGGAACTGCTCACATTCTTGGCAGCAAAATCACAAGTTTATAATCCAAACATCAGCGTCCAATGTTTTAGTATAAGGGAGCCCTCTCTATTTAATATCAGGATCACTGCTGTATATCTGACAACTGTCCCAGTAACTACATATGTTCACTATTATGTCTATTTTACAGAATGTTCTGGTCAATGTGTTTACTCAAAGATCTTTTTTTTTTTTTTTTTCATTTTTACTTACTCTTTTCTTATTTTTTCACTGCCATCCTTCTTGGTAGCTATAACTAATACAATTTACTATAACACTATATCTGAACTGCATCTCCCATACGCCACTGTCCTTTGTATTAAATCTAGTTGGCCACCCACTGACATACTTCTTTGGAGGCGTCTGACTGTATTTTCAAACTCCACTTGATTGATTGGCCCTGCTTCGTTCAGTGTGTGCTTGATGCTTTGCAGCCACAGTGGCTCCTCCCACTTGACCACAGCTTCACCAGGGCACCAGGATAACTGCCTGAATAGCTGACTATAGTCTATGTAAAATGTTTTCTGTTAAAATTGGTATTGTTTTTGGTGTAATCACAGCCATTTGTCCAGTGCATTGTTAGTGGTAAGAATCAGTGTCAATGTTTATTCCAGTAATGAGTGAGGAGGAAGTAGTGAGTGTTAGATTACACAATATACAAATGGACATCAGTGCTGGTATGTTAAATTAGCACAGGTGAAGGAAGGTATATTAGATGCAGTACAATGAGACACACATATTTGGACATGAAATGACAATAGAACACAGACACACACACACATACACACAGACAGGGCACACTTAAAGACAGACTGACAGAAGAGGGTCCATGCCCAGTCTAACCAATGTGCAGACTACTGTACACCAGTATGATAATGAACAGGTAGTCTGAACACTGGGTGGACGGAGCCGGAGCTGAGAGCCAGGCCTGGTGCTGTCTGCTGCCAATCCAGATGCGCGCTTGCCTTGTGCCCACTTTACCAGGATCTCCTTCACTGTAGCACCCTCCAAACTGCGTTTTCGTCATCGTATTCGCTGCGAGATGTGGGGCGGTATCTCTTGTTTGTTTGTTTTGATTTAAGTTTGGAAAGCGGTCGTCCTCTTTCGCGATCCGGGTGATCACGCCGGCCATCAGAAGTATCCAGCCTTGACGTGGCATATTCTCTCATACGACTGACTGGGACAGACTGGGCTGCACATTCAGGGAGGGGATATTACAAAAAAGAGGGAATGGGAGGAAGAGGGAGGGGACCGTGCCTGACCATATATGGGACGGAGTGACCCCTTAGGGAAATGCAACTCAGACTGATTTGCAGACTTTCTTATCCTGTCTTCTTCATGAACTTTACTCTTTACCTTTGTCTATCTCTTAACAAATTCCCAAACATTTGCTAGCGTTCTTTTGTAAATCTTATGGAAATCCACTCCAGTGTAAGTTTTTCCGCCATCCCTACTCTCCCGCCTCTCTTTGGTTCTCTGTGTGCAGCTAAGCACTACCAGATGTTGAGTTTTAACGCCAGGCTGTCATTTAATCTCTCTCTCCCGCTCTCTCTCTTCCCTTCTTCAAAAAAATTAGGCAGGAAGTGGGCCCCTCTGGAATGGAAAGAAAAAATATTTAAAAAAATATTGAGGGGGAGGGATATAAAAGACAGACACAGGGATGAAGGTTAGACATAGGACAAAAATGGTTGGCCCTGTTGATGCCTTTAGACTTAGGTGTTTCAATACAAACTCATAATTGTCTTTAAAAAAGTATTTCTTTATGTCGCATAATCCTGGCTGTAGCTTTCCCTAAACCGTTAGCTACCAGTTAGCTCTCCTGCAAAACAGTGAAGAAGGACTTGTGTCTTGACCCGCTCTTTAATGACTTCCACATGTGGTCGCCCTCTCTGTTTCTCATTCTTCTCCTCCCACTTCAACCCCCTTCTCCCCAACACCACCACTACCCCCAGTTCTGTCTCCCCCATTCCACCTCGCCCCTGACACCTTTCAGTTTTTACTTCTATTATACCTTTTCTTTATAATAGTTACAAGAATGCAAAAATGAAAACATGCCTAAACCAAAGAATGTAATTGTTCACTATGAGTCACTAGTTTTCATGATTACGTGTCTTTTGTTCTCTCAGGAGAAAGAGAAGAAGTACATGCTGCCCCTGGACAACCTGAAGGTTCGTGATGTGGAGAAGAGCTTCATGTCGAGCAAGCACATATTCTGCATCTTCAACACTGAGTCAAGGTCAGCTATGACTTCAAAATCTGTTTGCCATTTGCAGTTAAAATGAGAAGTGACTAAATACTGCATTGTGTGCATGCATGTTTGTATGTGAATGTATGTGATATGCCTTGAATGTTTGCTTTTATAAACTTCATCATCAGTCTGCCCCAGTGACTACAGGTGGAAATTAGGACTTGTGCTGACAGAGAATGAAAACTAAATATTATCAGCTGCTGAGAGTAAACCCTACATGAGCTATTTTATACAATGATTCTTTATTCTCTTTCTAGGAATGTCTACAAAGACAATCGTACTTTAGAGTTGGCTTGTGATTCTCAGGATGATGTTGACAGCTGGAAGTCCTCTCTTTTACGTGCAGGTGTCTATCCTGAAAAGACTGTAACTGTGAGTAGACTTACTAATGCTGATCTGCAATTAGAAACTTGACACACAAAATGACTCCTCTTGTCTGTGTCTTTTACAGGTTGAGAGTGAGACCACTAGCTCCACAGATAACTTCTCAATGGATCCTCAGCTGGAGCGTAAAGTGGAAACCATCCGTAACCTGGTGGACTCCTACATGGCTATTGTGAATAAATGCATAAGAGACCTGATGCCAAAGACTATCATGCATCTCATGATTAACAATGTAAGCTCATTCACCTACATTATGCAATGTACAGATTTTACCCTTTTTATTTAAACTTAACTGCTGCTCCTATAGGTGAAGGACTTCATCAATGCAGAGCTCTTGGCACAGCTGTACTCGGCGGGTGATCAGAACGCCCTCATGGATGAGTCACAGGAGCAGGCCCAGAGGAGAGATGAGGTGCTGCGAACCCACCAGGCTCTGAAGGAGGCTCTGGCCATCATTGGAGACATTTCCACCACCACTGTTACCACACCTATGCCTCCACCCGTTGACACTTCCTGGATGGGTGGCAGTCGCAGGTCCAGCACCATAATATCATAATACGCCATAATACAACCATAATACAACCATAATACAACCATAATACACCCAATTTATATATTTTTTTATTAATTGTGTTCATTCTTTCTTAGATCTCCTCCCCCCAGCCCCACTGCTCCCCGAAGGATGTCTTCAGGCCAGCGTCCTGCTCCTCGAGGGGCTCCCCCGCCACCAAATCGCCCTGGACCTCTGGGACCTTTCAATAATAGCGCTGAAAGCCCCCAGGCACCAAGCCGTCCCAACAGGGCTCCCCCGAGCATCCCCAGGTGAGAGGACCACAATGTCCCACAGAAGCATCCAAAACCCAACACAGGGTGCGTGTGTGTGTATATACACACACACACACTGACAGTGGCCCCCTGTTTTTTATATATATATATATATATATATATATATATATATATATATATATATATATATATATATATATATATATATATATATATATATATATATATATATATATATATATATACACACACACACACACAACACCTTTGTCTTTCTTATCTAATCTCTTTTCCATCCCTATTTTCGGACACTTATATATATCTGTGTTTCTTCTCTTTTCCAGTCGACGACCCCCTCCATCTCCGACAAGACAAGCCCCTCCATCTTAAACTTCTGAAGGGATGGTCTGTTCCCTTATCTCATGCTCTCTGTCCCCCTCTATCTTAGCCATGGCTCTGCTGTTTGTGTCTTTCCTTAATGCAGACACTCAAGTCTTTACCCCACTGACCCTCGATTTCCTGCCAGGTGACGATGTCCATATATCTATGTACAGTATGGTACTTGTCTTGTGGTGTATATGTATGTTGCGCTTGTTGCTCACCTGTGGTCCAGGTTTGCTTTGCTGGATCCTCCTTTAGCCCCCCAAACCCTTTGCCAAGACCGTCACCTCCACCCCACTTGCTGCTTCTCCATGAAAATATGCTCAGCAGTCGCACTGCCCTCCTCATTCCAAATGCAGCATGGCACATAAGCTGCTTTTATTGCATGGAAGTGTGTGTATGTAGAGTGTGTATGTGTTTGTGTGTATGTATAAAGGGGAGGGATGAATTGGCCTAGGTATAGGCTGAAATTGATTTAGTATTGTATTAATTTATTGTATATCACCCTTAAGTGTTAATTATCAGCTTAATGTTCTCCTAGGAACACAAGTTGTATCTTAGTATGTGAGTGTATATAGAGTATGTGTTTGTGACAGATTCCATAGATATAAGACAGTCGGATGCTACATTCACCTTGTTCAAACTTACCAGAAGGTGCTCAAATGGCAGCCATATTAGGAAGGTAACATTAAAAAAGCAACAGTAGCTGAATAGGTTCCCAAACAGTCTCCTTTTTGAAGTTTATTAACTCAATGCTCCTATAATGTTTTCCCATGTCTGGCTGTCTCCAAAGAAATGTGTAATGTGTGGGTGAATTGATGGCCATAGACAATGAATGCGAGAGAATGAGTGTGTATGTCTCTGTATGAGCCAAGTGGATGAAAGATGTGAACAAGCCAGCCATTTTGGTGTTCCTGTCCTGGTCCCATAGTTAATTTTCTGTGACAAAAGGTGCTTTTATTATTAAAAGTTAGGTTAGAGTTAGGTCTAACTCTAATGCATATCAGTCTTAAAATAACCATGCACCTCTGGTATGATTTTTATGTGGGATGTTGCCTATAATCTTCAATATAACTAGAATTTGTTCAGTTTCTTCCTTCTGAACAGATTTTATTAGACCTGTGCCATAACTGTCTTATACCTACATCTACTACATCCATAAATTCACAAATGATAAAAATATATCTAGACTACTGCGTTGATGTCTTCCTGAATATGGCAGCTATAGACACAGGCTGTCAGAATGTGGCATCTCCTGCTCTGTATCTATGACCACCACAATGTACATGAGTGTGTGTGTGTATGAGTGTGAGTGTGTTCAGACCTGGGTGCATGTGCTGTCTGTCTGCACGTTTGTTGGCGTTTCAGTTGTGATCGTTTTCATGAAAGCTGTTATTGATGAACCATAAGACCCTTGAGGTAAAAATATATGTTGGACTTTTGTGAGTTGTTCCTGTGTTATAGTAGCAGCCATACACACATAGCGAGGCTGAGGAGCACCTATAGTATTCTGTACATGGAACAGCATCAATAATAATACATATAACCAAACCTCGATGTCCACCTGTGCTGTATTATTGGTCAATTTATGACCCTTAACAACCTTATGCTTTGAGTCAGATTCTGACTGTCAAGATTTGTAGAGAGTGTTTTATTAACAAGTTCCATTAAGCCTTTTTCTCAGGTTTGCGACTCCATGCACGCCATAAACAGGCTATTACTTTATCAGTTGTTTTTGCATCACAATGAAAGCAGAGGGATCAGTCAGTGTCTGCCTTAAAGCTATAGGCAGCATTGTCAGTTTTCAAGTGCTTCTCTGTCTGTCTGTTATTGTGTATGTGGGCCTAAACTGTGTCCTAATGTATATAGGTAATGATATAAGAGACATGTGGATCGTAAAGACCTCATCAAGGACCCTAGCGCTTTAATTGTTCTATGTCTCACTAAATTGTCTAATTTAGGCAGCCTTAAATGGCATCAATAGCAATTCTGTATTGCCAAAGCATATGTAGTCAGAGAATAAAAAAATGTTATAAAACAGCTGAAGACCAATAGTGAAATGGTTCCAGTTGTAGTTAAGGTGGCATATAGAGCATATAATGTTTAATGGGGGAATTGCATTGGTTGTTCTTTTCTGTGTCTCTGTATTGATCCTCAATAAAATCCTGGTATATTACTATTTGTATTGTTTTTTTTTTTTTGTTTGTTTAGTTTTTTTTTCCTTGGGAACTCCGTACCAAAACTTAGAGGGAAGATTAGACAGTTTATTTTATGATTAGAAATTATTATTAAATATAAAGCCATAAGTGTGATGAAATGGATCTACAGTTCTATGTTCTACTCATACCCATAGACCAGGCATGTCCAAACTATGGCCCGGGGGCCAAATGCGGCCATCAGACAGATTTTTTGTGGCCCTCAGGCTTCCAGGTGAATTGGCCCAAATCACCTTGCATCAATTAAAATGAACTTTTTACTGCTTTTTGAACTTTTTAACTTTTTTTTGAAAATCTACCTTGATAAAGTCAATATTGAATATTTTGTGTGTGTTTTTAAGGATCTTAGCATGAATAAAGACTGATGGCTCATTCTAACCTGATAAACATGCAAATATTTCAATTATTCACTGTTGTGAACACCAGTCTACGGCTCTCGATCGGCCCTTTGCTTCATCTGTGTCTAGAGATGTGGCCCTTGATGAAAAAACTTTGGACACCCCTGCCATAGACCATAGACCACTAGTTCCAATGTTTCGCCACTCAGTGCAGGCGTGTACTCAGCTTTACGTAAAATTGAGTAAAGAACTCCCTCTTCTGGGCGTAACGCAGACGTGCACTATTTAAATGTGTGCAAAGTACAGGACATTCAGTTCAGTCTCTGATTTGTAAGGAATAGATTTAAACTACACTCAGCATTTAAATATAGCACTTTAAAGTTTGCCTAATGCAAAAACAACTACAATTCATGTGTTTTTTGGGAAACCACTGCGATTTAAGAATGTATTTAACATGACTACTTTTCGGAGGCCCACGGTGCACAAAACAAGCGCCTCTCCGGTCGTGCGCCACGGCGAAGGCGCGTCTCTATTGGCGGAGCCGCTGTGACGCGCAGCAGTGTACTGACATCCAGAGGCAGGTTCACTAACCGAGCATCACCAAAGAAGAGCTAAACACCAGCCAAGTTTTCAGCAAGTTCTACCTGTCATTGTTATCCATTTAACTTCACAGGATAAACTGTATTTAAGGATGTAAAGCTATTTCTGAACAGAGCGAGGATGAGTCCACCGACCGGAGACGGATGAAGATGACATTTCTGTTATGGCGAGCTGTGTCTCTGTGGCTATGTGTAGCTGTTTTATTTTTGTAAGTTGATCTTGAGGCTTCTCAATTATAATTTAAACAGGACTAAATCGTGTTTATTATACGAAAGTAGGAGTTTAAGCTATGTTCATTTTTAGGGCCATCGTTACATAGCAAGTGGGATTTTCCCGCCGTGGTAGCATGTAGCATGCTAGCAGTGATGTGGCATCTGGCGCACTGTCCTGTCAACACCAAAAGTGAACCAAAACAGTACTTAAACGTATTCTGCTTATTCTGATACGATACCAAAGATTATGCAGACTGCTTAAATGTATAATCTATGCACTAACACTTATAGGCAAACGTCTTGCGCTTCTAATTTTGACAGTGACAAATTTTATTGTATGTATTGTTATTGCACAATAATTTACTGGTCTTCCTTGTCACCAGTGGGCCGTACAAAATAGTATACTTATTAAGTGAACAGATCCACGCAGTTACATGTGGGCCGTGTCCGTGTACGGATCCTTGGCAGGGCACAGATTTGTCAGCTGTTGACAGGATTAAGGTTGATCCCTGAGTCCCAGTGTAAAACTGACAGTGCGCTCAGTGTAGAATGAGGATTTCTATACGGTGTATACGTTTCTAATTGATTGCTGTTTGTCCTCATAGAATCGAAACAAAATTGAATTTAAGCTAACAGACACAGTGGCGTAATGTAATATTACTGTAATATGTAGTTGTACGTTTGTCCTTAATTTTGAACTTGAGTCCTTTCCTTTGTGATGATGTTTATAGCTCCACTATACATGTTGCAAATGTAATTGTATCACACCAGATACTATTCACATGTATGAAGTGTGTCCCAGTTGGGCATGGGATGATTTAGAAATTTTATTATTGGTGCCAAAATAATTGCGATTAATGAAAATTATGAAAATTGCGGACAGTTTAAAAATGTTATGGATAGGAATAATTGTAATTTGAATATTATAAATAGGTTCCATATTTATACAACTGTTATAGTGTTGTACTTTGTTAGTGAAAGTGAAAACAACAATGATTGAGAAGAAAACATCATGAAAAAGTGTCTTTTCTGCACATTCTGGTGACCTGTAGTGATTATCTTTGTTGGTGATTATCACAATTATATAAAATGTCCCACGAACGATTACTTTTTTTTCTACCCTTTTTATCACAAAGATATTAATTATTCTCCCATCCCTAGTCTCAGGCAAAGTACAGTTTAGATAACCAATGGGATGGGTCAATTTACAACATTTTATAACTCTCCTTTAGTGTCATAATGGCAGATAAAATCTAACAATCTTTAGTAAAATGACCCATTCCTTTTTCAGGTGTCTTGATGAGTCCCATGTTGGCAGTGCAAAGCCTCAGGAAGAGGCCAAGAGGCCAGTGTCCTCACAGGACATGTGCTCGGAGAAAGGGTGCGACCAAATGACTCACAATGAAAAGGTGACTACATCTGTGTACAGCATCTAGGGCTCTATGGTCATATTTTATTGCTGGCAGATTTCTACAACTATTTTGATTGTTGTTTTTTCCAGCTTGAAGCAATACCATCATCTTTAGTCAATGAGCACCCTAACGATGAGGCAGAGGATGAGGTAAAAGATGAACACAAAGACAAAGGAGAACAACAGGTACAATTATTGAGTAGTATTTAAGTATCTACAATGTGGTTTAATTTATCTACATTTCAATCAGTTTTAAATGCATATATTCTTGGGTGTGTTGTTTCATAGATCCTGGATTTGGAGGTGCCTTCCATGGAACAGTCTTTGAGAGAAGAAGCAAAAGAAGATGAGCATGAACAAAACTCAGCACATGAACTGGACAGACTCTCCGCTCTTCCGTTTTCTGAGCCACTTTCTGCTTTGGCTGGTGAAGTTAAAGATGGGTCTATGCTGCACATTCAGGAGGAAACACTAGAAAGGCAAGTCATCTTCACTACCCCCTGCTTATCAAAACTGACATAGCTTATTAAGCATACAAATTATTATCTGGTGTGTATTTTAGTGTGTCAGAACATGCCCCTGATGTAACTGAAGTAAATGATTCTGACCACCCTTCTGCTGATTGTGAGGTGGAGCCCAACCCCTTTGATAGTGACAGGTCAGTGTAAATGTTCATTATGGTGACAGCACATGATGTTGACACTGATATAATGTATGATTGACAGCAGCCCTCCGGTGGTCCTGGAGAACACCTCTAATGCTCACACCACAGGCACTAAGTCCCTCCCTGACCCTCCTCTGAGTTCCCCAGCTGCTCCCAGCACACAGCACCTGGAGACGAATGTCTCCCACATGCTCCAAGTACTAAGCTATTCTTGTCTGATTATAAAAGGAACTGTACCAGCTTTATTATAAGCATTATCTTCACAGGACCAGACCTCATCTGGTACCACAGAGACAGACTCCAATGTGGGCAGCAAAGACCCAGAGGACATTCCAACATTTGATGAGTGGAAAAGAAAAGTGATGGAGGTTGAAAAGGAAAAAAGTAAGTTTACATTTCCATACATAGTCAGTGTGACATGTTGTTTATGTGCTCAAAACAAATTCATTCTTCTTCTCCAGCTGTGACCACACATACATCTACTAATGGAGCTGCTCATCCAGTGAAGAAAGTCCAAAAAAACTTCAACAACTATGCTTCTGTGGAGTGTGGGGCCAAAATCTTAGGTGCTAATCCTGAGGCTAAGGTAATTATTATATAAATGTATACTCCACATATACAGCCCCCAATGGTTATTTATTGAGTAATACTGTTGTTATAAACAGAGCACTTCATCCATTCTGAAGGAGAACATGGATTTGTACATGTTAAATCCATGTAGTAATAAAATATGGTAAGTAATGTATTATTGTAAACATCTTGTGTGTATTGTGTGTATCATTGTTCTATCCTGTTCTTCAGGTTTGTTATTGAGCTCTGTGAGCCAGTTCAGGTGAAGCAGTTGGATATTGCCAACTTTGAACTCTTTTCTTCTACTCCCAAAGACTTTCTTGTCTCCATCAGTGACAGGTGTGTGACACCTGCTTCTTACAATTGAATCTGAAACACTACACACATGAGGAACAATGCACTGCTATTTTACCTTTTGTATGCTTGAACAAACTTGCTATAATGTCTAAATGCTCTATTACAGATACCCAACAAACAAGTGGCTGAAACTGGGAACATTTCATGCTCGAGATGAACGCACTGTCCAGAGTTTCCCATTAGATGAACATCTTTATGCGAAATATGTCAAGGTGATTATTATATACTATCATTTCTTTTGATCTCCTCACTCATTGACCTATTGTAGTTGCATGTATTACTGCATTTGTCTTGTTTCTACTTCTGTTTTGCAGGAGCACAACTATATTATACTTTAGTGTTTGCCATCTCTTTTAGTACATCTCCTATATTATAGAATGTCTGTTGCATGTTGTAGTAGTTATGTTATAATGCTGAAATGAATGTGCTGCATGTAATGTTTTCATGCATCCTTCTGTTGTAGGTAAACATAGAATCATCTTTGGGTCGTGTTTGAATGCATGTGGGCTCTCCTTTAATTGTTTCTATTTTTCTCTTTCCCTTACTTCAGATGTTCACCAAGTACATAAAGGTTAGCCTGTTTTTACTTGTACACAGGTTTGGTTGTGTGAATTAATAAATTATTTTATATATTATATTAAGCAATAGTTATCATGTGATAGCTGTTACACATTATATCACTAATTCATAATGATCCCAAAATTTTAAATAATCAAAAATAAACAAATTGTTCATATACTTAAACTTAAGCACTTTATCCTTTATCCACATAGATCTCTTGTTACCTCTACAATTCTATGTTATTCATCTGTTTGTTGCTTTTAGGTGGAGCTGGTCTCTCACTTTGGATCTGAACATTTTTGTCCTCTCAGTCTCATACGGTATGTGATCTTAAAGACAAAAGGATTAGGGATGGGCATTCGATGAAATTTTCTTAATCGATCGTTGAGAGAATTAACGATCGATTATCGATTAATCATTAATGTTTTTATATTAAAATGATCATCATTATTATTACTATCTGCACTCCTAATCTGCATAAATAAATTCCACTTTACGACAAATAAACCGTAGCCACATCAGCCCGTTTATTATAATGTGTTTAATTCAGTTTTGCGCAACTCTCACAGAAACGAAACCGCATCGCTAATTTGCATAAACTTAGCGAAGATAAAAAAAATACAGCTCTTGTGCGCTGATGCAGTCAACTTCTGTCGGATTAAAAGACATGACTCAATGGAATACAGGTTAGTGTGGCCATATTTGCGTTTCTCAAAACCAGGACACCGTACGAGGGACTCGTCATCGACATTGCGCTTCTCTCACCTGACAAAGATTTTTCTCACTGGAAACCGAAACATATGTGCTGCTTTGTACACTGTGCACATGGCCTCACACTTGTCCCGACCGGAACGGAAAGTGTGGAATTTCTTGTACAAGTCATCGTTAAATACGCATTTGTGCTTCGGTACGTTGCAGGCTGACCGACTGTTTATGTTTGCTCGCTCCTTCTGAGTGCAAAGAGCTACTTGTACGAACTCCCGTTTGGTCACGCTACGCACAGCAACCTGCATTCGGTTTGTCGGTTAAAGTTTACTTAATCGATGAAATTCTTAATGATCAATTATTGATTAATCGACTAATCATGCCCATCCCTAATATGGATAAGTTACTCGATAGTACAGTATTTAATATTTTAAACTTCCCATTTTAAATATGTGCAGTGTTAGTGGTCTTTACATGTGCATATAGACTATTATGTAATGTTACACATTTAGACAGGCGGGCCTTATGAACCATGTGATAAAATATATGTATGCAGCTGTGGCTTCATGTCTGCCATTTTGAAATCCTAACTGGGTCACTAATGTAGAGCACGGTGGCAGAAATAAGACTTCACTCCACATAATATGACAATGGTATACCATACCATACTTCATTATTCATAGAAATGAATGTGTATATAGTGGTTAGTGAATCTGTTGCCCCTGTGTTCTAGCATGTCTGTACAGCCTTGAGAGCTGAGGTTCCCTGCGACACAAGTCCAAAATAGAATTATATGAATGCACTTTTGTTGCCAGGGTGTTTGGCACCAGCATGGTGGAAGAGTATGAGGAGATCGCTGACCCTTCGGAAAGGCCAGAGGAGCAGGACGATGACATGGGTAAGAGCTATAACATAAAAGCCTCGGATCAGCTGTTGTTTCAAATACACCTGTCTGCTAAATGGACTTTTAAAATCTACGGAACTCAGAAAATGCAACACTACTTTCCACAGATTACCCTGCTGGCTATGCACCTGCTGATGGTGACTCCAAAAATTTAATTGGATCTGCAAAAGGTAAGAACATATATTTGAATGGAACAGCCCAGTGTTAATAGGCATTACATTTTTGTGGGGTCAGAATGTTTTAAATTACAGACTTCTGACTAAAATGTAAACCAAAGCATAAGAAACTACTAGTAGTGCAATAGTGTCATAGACCAAACCGGCCAATTTGTCCCTTTTCTTACAGACAAAAAAGCGATATATGAAGTGATGCCTAAACAAATTAAATAAACTCTTTTTAAAATCTCAACCATATTTGTCTTTACAGATGCAATTTTTAACATTGTGAAAGACATTGCTGTTGTTCTGGGAAGAAGCGATGAGATGCCAGGTATTACAACTTTGCCCTGTTTGGTTGTCTTTTATTTTACCAAGAAATTCTACATATGTGAAATTTGGCTTACAGGCAACATAACATCTCAGGAAGTTAATATGACTGAGCCTCAGTTACAACCTGAAACAACTACTGAAACAAACCCAAACATGCAACCCGAGTAAGTATGCCTTTTATCCTGAAATATGAAAATAATTAAAATGGCATTGTATATTATTCATATTAGCTGTAATATATTTCTCTATATGGTTTTATTTTCTATGTCTAGGCCAGAAGTGGAAGATCTTTCCACAACTGCAACTCAAGGCACTCAAATGCCTGAGGCAGTTGTAACTGATCTTAACAATGGTGTACCTGCAGCTACAGAAGAACAAATTGTCATTCCTTTAGAAAAAGAGGAGGATGAGCCTAGCATCAGCTCTACCATTATTTATTTGGGCGAGGAAGAGGTAGACGAAGAGAAACTTGACAACCAAAAAAATCAGGATCCATGCGCTCTGTTGCCTTTATCTCCTGCCTGCTCCTGCGCTGCTTCACTACACGAGTACTTGCTGCAGACATGCTTACTGCACATGCCCCAAAATTGCACAAACTGCCAAACTGTTGAACAAATACAAATGGATGTGCCTAACTGGGTGATATACCAGCCCCCTTCTTCATATCCACATCCACAACAGGCGCAAAAGGATTCACTGGAAATACCAGACAAAGAAGATTCTGTTTCTGAGAATGAGAACAAAGCCAGCTTCACTGAAAAAACACTTTCTCCTAATACAATATCCCAGCCTGAAGTTCACCCTATAGAGCAAAGTCAGACTTCAGACGATCTCAACTCCATTGAGTCTTATGTTACCATAGCAACCCCTGCTGAAGAAACGCCACAGTTAGTCCAGGAAATACCAATCAAAATGCCTAGTTCTAAAATGAACCAGGATTCTGCTGAGGAGAAGCAAATTGAATCAACCCTTAGTGGCTCTCTTAATTCTGTTCCCGCTTTAAGCGTAACATTGGTCGATCCAACACCACCAAAAGAGAAAACAAATCTAGATCTATCTCAAGAAATGAAAAGTAAAGATGGCAAAGATGCAGCTCCGGTAGTTAACTCCAAAACCCCTCATTCAGAGCCAGATGCAACAGTTGTCCCAGATGAGAATAAGCTGTCTGAAATAGAGCCCATCCTTGACCCCCTGCCCTCTGAAGTCCTCAACATGGATTCAAAAATGGAGGACACGGCCGAGGATATAGCCTCAGGTATATCACGCCCCTCCGCTGTTACTACATCGTCCCTATCAGATATTTACGCAGAGCCCCCTAATGGTACGGAGCTGAATGGCAGCCCTGTGCACGGCTCCAGCCAGAAGGAGTCTGTGTTTATGAGGCTGAACAATCGAATCAAAGCTCTGGAGATGAACATGTCACTGAGTGGGCGTTACCTTGAGCAGCTCAGTCAGAGGTGAAGGACTGAAAAATATAAATGATCTTGGTGTTAAACTGCTATATAAGCGCTGATTATAGTTTGATTATAGGTACCGGAAGCAAATGGAGGAGATGCAAAAGGCTTTTAACAAAACTATTATCAAGCTTCAGAATACCTCCAGAGTGGCAGAGGAACAGGTCAGTCAAACCTGCATACACTTCCACTCATACTTGTTCGTCCCATCTAAAATATATCGTCTAATGTGAGAAACCTTGATTAAATCCGGGTTTTCTGAATTATTCTTATGAGTGTTAAAATTGTTCTTAATTTTTGATTCTCTTGTATTATTCAGATGCGCTTCATAAGCCTTTTGCAATAACAGATTGTGGCTGGCCAGATTAAATATGGTGATAAAACATGATATCAAAGTCTCTGGCTTATCCTAGTCTTCTGTCTTCTGAACAGTAAAAATAAAAAGCACAGCATAAAATACTATATGGTATCTATAATGACTCAGAGATATTCACATAGTACAAAAATATTAGAAAAAGTTCCCCACTGCAAGTACAAGTACACTGGATAAATATTGAGCCTCAAAAATGTCATATAATATGTAAGATCATTTATTGAATGAGAAGTTGTTATAGTAATGTAACTGGTTTAGCGGTTATAATTTTCCATGTGTATATTTAGGATCTTCGTCAGACGGAGTCCATTCAGCAGCTGCAGGGCCAGTTGGCAAATGTGACTCAGCTCGTTCTCAACCTGTCTGTTCAGGTCAGCCAACTGCAGAGTGAGGTTAGTGCAAAAGTTAAACAAATCAGAATTAAATAAAGAAAATATTCCATGTGAGTTCTGCATTTCATATGTTGTGTATTCATGCGGTCTTTCAGGTATCTGATCGTGAGAGCTACCTGCTGCTCTCCCTGTTCATGTGTCTCTGTTTGGGTTTACTGCTTTACATCAACCGCTGCAGAATGTCATCTACTTTCTGTCCTGAGCCCGACCCACCAGTCCCAGAGAGCTACACCTACTGCTGTCCAGAACGGTACCAAAAGGATTTACTCTATAGAATAAAATATATAAATATAAAGTGGTATAATTTATAGCCAAAGAGCTGATAGATTTGATAGAAAATGGTTATGGGAGCATAAATGGATTTTCCCCATCAAAGCAATTTGTAGACTTAATTATTCATCAAGAACAGATGGACCAATAAGGAATCACTCAACCATGTTTCCTCTTATAACGGGCCTCCTGTAATATTTTCTTTGACCTATTACCATTTCCTTAACAGGCAGTTTTCCAGCGATGAGGCGGCACTCAAGAGAAGCGCATCCTATCCACTCATCCACTCTGACTCATTCCAGTTGGCCTCCACTATGGGTAATTTCCACACTCCACTGCTCTCATTTATGAAATATATGTCGTTATCTTTGTATAACCACAATGCTGATGTTCTGTGTACATCCAGAAATTCTACAACACGAAGAGACTCAGAGTCTTTGTCCAGCCAGTAAAAAGGTACTTGAAAAAATTATGTGTTCAGCCAGTTACAAAATAATACTCTTCATTTTGATGAGAGTTGATCTAGTAACTAGGACATTCCTACATTCACACAACAGTGTACGCTGACCATTTATAAAATATCAAATATGTCATAAAATGCAGCTCTTGTGATGGCATTTCATTTTGTAAATTTGTGTTGTTTCAGAGAAGACGTAGAAAGGTGAAGTCTCTGGAGAAAGTGGAGACCCTAAAGCCCTCTCTCCATGCCACTGAGCAGGTCCAGAGCAAAGGGCCTGATAAAACATGTAATGGGGGGTCCGTGCTTGTGGAACCTAACCCTCTTGCACAGACCATACTCCAGCCCCCTTTTAGAGATCCTGTGTCAGAGGGCAGCTCTGAGTGCTCCTCTCACTCAGATGACCCTTCTTTCTGTGGCATCACAGCGGCCTGTAACAGAATCTGTGATGGACTTCCTGCTAAAAGTCGCGCAGAGCGGCGGGCCCTGAGGCGCAGACGGGCCACAAACAGTGCAGTGGTGGACTACCTCAAAGCCCCCAGCAGACACAAGAGGAACTCGCTACCTATTTACACAATCCATGACATCATGGACCGACAGGAGCAGAGCTCCTGTGGACTCAATGTGCACCTGTCAGGTCCTGTCTGACTTTTAACTTGCACTCACTGCTAAGGCTGTAGAATAGTGGGTGGGGCAGATAGCTTCAAGCGCAAACAATGGACAATCCTCACCTGTTAATGCTCAAGATTAGTTCTTGTTACATGCCCATGTTTGTAACATTAATGTCTTCCAAGTTCTAGATTCTTCCTGTTTTTTGGAAGTGTTATTAAATAGACATATTCTGCACAATATACTTTTCCACAGACCTTTTTATGGGACTCTATTTCCAACAGATTTGTGAAACAACTTATTGTGCAACCTAATATTTATTGATTGATTTTTAATTATTTTTTAACCTTAAGATGTGGATGCGATGCCTCTAAATTCCCTTTTCCTTTCTACTTGTTCTATTGTTCTGTTCATCTTCATTGAACATAATGAACTGTTTTTCTCCTGTTATAACCTTTGTCAAAGCACCTTAAAACAAGAATCTATTTTGTGGCTTAATACATTTGTCATGATGACACGCAACTGAACAATCAGTATAATCACTAGTCTCTATGGGCTTCTTTTCTCCAGCAGAGGGCAGTGTATCTTATGAAGTGCTCCATGAGATTTATGCATTTTGGTCTCCCTCACCATCATTTTCTGTTGATGAGTCATTGGATTGCAGTAAATAAGCTCAAGGGCTAATTCCCCCTATCCTTTGTGCAAACCCTTTTCAGTTTTTTTTAAACTTCTGCAACTCTCTATGAAACTGGCACTGTCTCTATTATATTTTCTGTGTATATTTTCAAAGCCTAATACAAAGAATTTAATCTGGAACTTCCATTTGTGTTCAAGGCAACAGACTAAATAAACAGTGTCTGAGGTGAGGAGAGAATCCCTGTAGCCTGGACTAGCACCATGTGGTTGTATTTGTCAAGTTGGAAAAATCAGGATTAATTCCATTACTCCACGGCCTCTTAGTCTCTGTGGTCACACATGGGTCAGAGCAGAGAAAAATTGAGTTAAACCTCTTTATTTATGTGGCCTGGTGGATAGCAGGGGCCACTCTGAGATAAGCGTGATGCCTGATGCGTTCTTCATTTTGTTAACAGTATTCCTGGGTTTCCCTTGCTCTTCCCATTTCAAAGATTATCTGTAAATGCAGGGTTGCAATCCTCTTTTCCCAGGCACTTTTTATCTGCGGCTGTCATGGACTCAATGGATGCTTTTGTGAATAGCCCAGAGCTGTGTTGGACAGTGTGCTTTGAAACTCATGCCCAAGATGTATGGAAACCACTTTATTATTGCTTCAAGTTTTTAAAGGATTTCATGCACTTAAAGTTCAAGATTTTAACAAGCCAAAAAGATGAAAATAGATCATTTTTACCCACGCTATTGCATCACAGCGGTGTTTTAACAAAAAAACAACAAAAAAAAAACCAATGTGTATCTTACAAAGCTTACTTGGAAACTTAGTCAGATCTTTTTTGGTTATATCTTTCCTACTGTTGTCCAAAAAAAAAAATATTTTTTAATTTGAGTAGAAGACTCCTCAGTTTATGAATGGAGCAAAAATAATCCTTTGAGTCATTTGCTTTTTCAGATTTTCCGGTATATGGATGGGTGGGTGTTGGGGTTTCTTTGATGTTCTGTGGATACCATTTGAGACCACTGCATTAACCACGGATTTGCCATTTCTGTGATAGATTTTCCCATCCCTTCTTTGAGCTCTTTGACTGGTTATTTCCTTCTATATCTCTCTTTTTCTATAATCTTAACCCCCAGTTTCCAGCACTGAAACTATTCTGGTCATCAAAATAAACATATTCTGTAACAGTGATTTTGCAGTAGGTGGACACTATAAAAATCGAATTATGCTATTGTGATTTATGGTCAAACACAAACACTTCCCCTTATTGAGCCTCTGTCATGCTCTGTGAGTGAAGCATAGACTTGATGCAATAGCCGATAAAATCAGGATAAAAGATACTGATTGAATGAATCGTGGGAAAATCAATAATATCGGAAAAAGTTCTTTGGCAAATCGCCCACCTCTCTTTTACAGCAGTCTCTTGATGGTTAGAATACAAAAGTGTTCTGACAAAGGTGCTTAGTAAGGGGCCAATAAGATGCTGGCAGCTACTTTAAATCAATCAGCAGTACTCAATAAGACTAGTGCAAAGCTCCAGTAGTGAGAAGTAATAAGGATTTTGAAAACCTCTTGGTATTACTAAGACTTATGATACTACTGCAATGCATTAGGCTATATATAACATTAAGAACGTCGGACAATAATGCCGCTCCGCGTACCAAAACTAAATCAAAACTCTAGAACAAACCATGTCTAAATTACATTACATTATAAATCATGTGGCCAGCCTCACATGCATCAAGTATGTTGACTCATTGCACTACTTGATGGATTCTGGTCACTGCAGACCAGACACACCCCATAAAATCTGTTAATTTGAAGAAGCTCTTTTCTACTTAAATTGCCAATCTGATTTGTTTATAATCAAGCTGACTAAAATGCGCTTAACTTTAATGTGCCTTTAGTTTCTGCTTGTAAACTCACCAGATCAAATAACAGGACTGTTTCAGGTTAATAAGGAAGAGCATCTGGTGCAAAACTACTCTACAGCGTGTGAAGTGGATGACCAGCTCCATGGCCAAAGGGACACATTGCCCTCCTCAATGAATCCACGAACCACAGTGTGAGAAACACTGACTATACTGGATTAAAAAAGGCCTTTGGGGTTTTTAATGTTTGAAATGGAATAATCATTTAGTATCCTTTTGTCCCATTCTGAATAGGTCTTGCATATTACTTTACCCTCTTCATTTCCTGTACCTGTGATTTTATGACATCTGACACAAACACTGCTCTAATCACTCATCTGCCACAATCTCAAGGACTGAGGAGCAGTAATGGAAAAATAATACCCAAGTAGTACTATACCGTATTTTGGTTGTGTTTGATGGATCCCCTGCTCTCCTCTCACGCAGAAGGAGCCCATGTGGAAGAATCTGAGCTGAGACAGTCCCGGATGAGACGTGACATGTTGACCAAATACACACAGACTGGATGCACACCATCGGCCCCAAGTGACAATGACCTGGTGCTTTCAAAGACAACAGCAGCATAACCTTAGCATTTGTGTTACTACTATAAAAAGGTACAAAATGCCTAATAATAGATAAGATAAGAGAACCTTTATTTGTCACAATGAGGAAGTTTCAGTGTTGCACAGCAAGAGAATAGAAATAGACGCTCAAAAGTCATGATAAATAGTATTTTTTTAAAAACAGACAACAACGCTGTGAAATTATTATAAAATTGAGAAGGACTTCAGTGTTTTATACAGGTGATCATTCAGAATATATATGTTGTATCAGATGTTACAGTATTACACATGATTAGGTGGATGACACATGTACAGGACTAACATTGTTCATTGTACACTATAACAACAGAAGGAAGGAAAGACCTGCAGAACCTCTCCTTTACACAGCGAGGCTGGATGAGTCTGTCACTGAAGCTCCTGCAGTCCAGAGGACAGCCCAGGACAGAGCTGGACCTCATAGTGACCTTGTCCAGATTCTTCCCCTCCCTCTGCTCCAGTGGAACACACCATACAGGACCTATACTTGAGGTAAGTATTGTATGTTTCTAATTAAAAAGTTTATGTAATGTAGCACTCTAACACTGACAAATTTAAGGTGCATTATGTAACTTTTCTCATGGAAGGTTGCCTTTTGCTTGTGCTTCTTACTTCTCCATGGAGATGGTTTTGCCTGGAATGTTCCACAGTATGGCATTAAACTTCTGTCTACACCAGAAAAGTTACATTGTACAACTTTAATTGCTTGAGTAGTTTTGTACTATTTTGCGATTTTCAAATAGGACACTATTCCACAGGGGCAGCTCATTTGCATATCCTTTTACATAAGAGTCTAATCATTGTGCTTATGAGCTGAAATTTGAAAATAAAAACATCCCCTTCATAAATAGACTGCTGTGGATGTAAATGCAAAAATAACGACTTTGTTGATTGTTTTTGTACTGTAGTTAAGTAAATGGATGCCTTTCCATTATAGCTCTGCCCCATGTGGTTCTCTAATGAGCTAATTAGTATTTAAATCATATGGCTCTCTTGTGCAACTGTCTTTTTAATTGTGATTCATGTTTTTGGGATTGCATAAATATTGTATTATTATGTAATCCAGTTTCATACAAAACAAAACAAGGACTATCTGGAAAGGCTCAATCAAGATTTTTGCAGACATGGATGTTTTAAGTAGATTTTATAATATTATTTCTTGTTCTAAATAATCTTTATTTTTATTGAGTGACAAGACAATGACAGCATCCCTGTGCTAGCTTTACTAGTAGTTGTTGTAGTAGTTGTAGTACTAGTAATAGATAAAAAAGAGTGAAAATAATATCAGTAGTATATGCAAGTAGTCATTGCCATTTCAATACAGCACCATTAAAATGATTCTTTATGTCAAATAAAATAGTGCACTGTACTTTTACCAGACAGGCTGAGTAGATAATGGGTGTAGAATAAATTGTAGTTTTGGAGTTCTAACGCTGTAGAAGTTTATCAGTCCTCAAAACATGATAGTGTTGTCCATTCCAATCTAGTGCAGTGTGCCTGTTCTTCCATTGTAGGGAGTATTATACCTCTGATTATGTAGGCCAAGGTGAGTTGGCAGTGTGCCCACAGAAATTGAATTACCCTAACAATGGGGTTGCAAGAAGAAACACAGTCAATCTAAATCACAATTTGAATGGCCATGATCAGCAAACTGTTTAATTTAATTAGGTAGAATTATTTTCTTATTGTCCTATTCTATAAAGGAGGTAATAATTATTTTTTCTTAATATTTGTCTTCTTGAGTGTGGTTAAAATGTGTGCCCTGAAGAGAATAAAATATAAACTGTAAAGTTAATGCAGTACTTGTCAGAAAATTTCCATTTTGAGTTTCCAAAGTTGTTCAATACTAGGCCTGCCTGACGTTCACATGCGCTTTAAAGCAGTAGGCCCAAGTAACAATACCCGTATATGAAAAATCAAAACCTATACTTGCAAACAATGAAAACAGTTTGAAGGCCAGAGCACTGACCCCGGACAGCTGCATATAACCTGCTTTGATTGTTGCCATGGTTACTCACATGGGGTTCCAGATGACGCTGTGGCAGTGGTGGTGGTGTAACTTGTCGTGGATTGGCCCCGGGGACTCAGTGTTTTCACATCTCCACATCACATCAGCACCACATGTGCCCTTCCCCGCGGAGCTCTGTCCAGGTAAGAGAGAGAGACAGAGAGAAAGAGAGCGAGGAAGAGAGGGGAGGAGGACCACAGCTGCCCCCGGGACATGAGCGCCGCGTGGGCTGTGTCTGACCTCTGTGTTCAAAACCTTGCCAAGGTTATTTTCAATACACAACTTCAGGGACACGCTCTAATCCTCGCAAAGCAGAACCAATTTTTTATGCTATTTTTTTCTTTCTGCATTCCTATGCCCAGTTCATTTTCAAAAGATTGGCCAACATGTTCTGAATAATGTTTGACTACAATAAATAAACACGTAAACTTCACCTACACCCAGAATTCAAATAGAGCTGCTAAACTGGGCTGTATCTGTGAACTAAAGAAGAAGACAGAAAGGAGGAGGAATAGGGTCTAGAGGTATAAGGAACATTGTGATTGGTTGAACAGGTGTCTAAATTTGAAACTCCACCCCTGCAGCCAGATTTATGAAACATCTACCTTTAATCAGGGCAGGTTTTGTGATGTCACCAACTACTGGGAATTGCAGAGGCCACTGAAAACATCACACACTTAGATTAAGGCTTTCTTGACCAGAAAGCTTTAGATTGACCCAATTTGCGCTAAAAAAACAAACAAACAAACAAAAAAAATTCAATCACACTTTATTCGTTTTGCCCCATTGGCCAGCCCCATAGTTTAATCTACTGACATCTACATGCTAAGTAACACAATATGGCAGTCTCTAATCTAGTTTGAAATCCTCTACATTAACCTCCATTAATCGAACACTAAATTACCAGGAATATTTTACACACTTTTTGGCCTATTTCCACCACGTAAAAACACTGCTGTTGTGGAATTTTATTCTGGCTTTTAGCAGTGCAGAGCTACAGATCATAGTGTCACTTAAAGCAGGCAAAGTCACCTTGAAAGAGTAAAGCTCGCTCCATCTCGGGGGCTGGCGGTCTCCCATCAGCCATCAGTGAGGACTAGTGCTATGGCTCATCACCATTATGGCACTGCATGGGTTGATTTATGCTTATATTCAGCGTAAGTGAACTTTTTTTTAAAACAATACATCTTTTCTGTGTGTGGAAGTGACAAAAAGGCACAGGGACAGTATCTTAAACATACATGGAAATTCTTCAACACTATATGAGATGGGCAACTATGATTATATATTCTTACCTTTGTTGGTGAGACTAATAACAAATGCGCTTTTTTATTTTCTTTTTTTTTTTTGGTGTCTGTGTAATCATGTCATCCAGGTAGGGTCCAAAAGAAAGTTGAATTCTGTCAAATACACAGAGTGAATTGTTTGTGTCAAAACCGAAAAGGCTACCTATCCAAGTGTTTTTCCAGTTTTGATTAAAAAATATTCACTCTTATTGTTTGCCCAATTGAAAAAATTCACAATCAGTATATTTTGTAATACGCAATTGTAGTCACTGTCTCAACATTCTTTTTTTTTTTTTTTTTTTTTTTTTTTACTAGACTGGTGCTTTATATCCAGGCTGGCGCCACCTAGTGCCTCCGCTCAATTTCATTTCTCTCCAGTGACTTGGTCAGGAATCGGAACACACTAGATGTAAACCCTGGAAGTGTGAGTTCGGGCACCAGCCAATCAGTGAAAAGCCATACATTCTGCATTGTCAGTGATTCCTGAGATCGGGATTTAAAGCCGGAACAAAGAGAATGTTTGGTGAATTTTATCATGGGGAAAGACGTTATTGCCCTTCTTCCTACAGAATTTTGGAAAAGCTTAATATACCAGTTAGTCCCGTAAGCGGCGCATTACATATGTCACGACCAAATAGCAACGATTGGTTAAATGAAAAAAAGTGCTCGCTTACCATCGAGCGAACAAATTTTAACGCTGTGAGGTCAGATGGGTTCTATGAAGTGAAACCAGCTGATGAATCAGGCTACGTGCTTTATGTCTGTGTAAATAAATTATAAGAATCACATACTAATAACAATAAAAATACATATTAATCTAGACTTTGAAGAAGACAAAAGATAATTTCCACTAGCTCCATTATCATTATAAGCCTGTTCCTGCCTGCTCTGTCCTCTCACTCACACTTCCCATAGGCTGTGCATTGTAATTCCTCTGGAGTTACTTTGTGTTACGGCTCTATTCACTTGAGAGCTTTTACATCATTAATCCATTAAACTTTAAATTGCACAAGATTTTTAGCCTCTACGCTCCCAGATTAGCAGTTCAGTGCTTCTCTGTGTCAGCTCATTGGTTTGAAAGAAATTGACTAATTCCATAATTGCATGAAAACATTTTTTATTTTTTTTTTGTCTTTATTGAAGCATCAAAACAGCACTTTGAAAATGCAGTCAAGTTAGATGTTGAGAAGAATAATTATGTTCATTTTAGCACCTTACAGCTTTCTGTAACTGTTCACGCTTGGGTAGGTAACAATGTGCCCCATTTAAAATACGCAGAAAAATCACAATTTCTTTCTAGGGCATAGTTTGTGAAACCCAAATTGCGTGCTGCTGCACACTGGGCCTTGTCAGAGAAAAGAAAGGAACGTGATAATTTGCTCAAGCTTTTAAGCACTTTGTCAATGTGTGAGTTTGTGGAGGATGGCTGGTATGGTCTGTGTGTCTGGTCTGTGGTTCTGCCTGATGTCCATAACGGATAAACGGCTCTGAATCACCATTGTAGATGATACTTTTTTCTTGTGCCATACATGTACATGTAGAAGTGTGTGGGTGGGTATTTATCACACAAATCTGTATACACACTCGCATCATGTGGGCCTGCCTCTATGGCTTATGGGGCAAAAAATTTAATATAAGTTAAGACATGGTCATTGTTATTAGAGTTAGACAGATTTAGACAAACTTTATTGATCCATAAGGGAAATGATTTGGACATAGTAGCTCACACATCACAATATATTATAATAATAAAGTGCAAAACACAAACAAATAGTAATAATAAATTCAAAATAAGTAACAAAAATAGCAAGAGAGTGAAGACATAATGATACAAATGAGAGGTGAGTAAGGAGAACAGTGTAGAAATGGGTAGTGATTGAAGTATGTGGTGATGTAAGGTTAGATGGATATGGTAAAAGGTTTAGGTTAAGGTTAGGCAAGTAATAACTATGAGTAGGACTCCAGTAAATGAATGTAAGTCAATCGAATGTCCACAAAAACCATGGAAGCCCAAAATGCACATGTGTGTGTGTTTGATGGTAAAGAAATATGGATTATCCACGGTGAATGGTATGCGTATGGCTTATGGCATCAAATGATCTGGTTTACAATTATAATTAAAATGAACATGATGTAAATGACAGATTTAGCCGACCTTTAATTTTGTGAAAACTGCAAAAGATATTCCACCAAACCAA